GACAATGAGGCGAAAGTTAATAGAGATACTGAGATACTAATCAGAAAGTATATACTAGTGCCGTACTGTCCCATCAAAAAACTTAAAGTTTACTGTGAGAAACCAAACAACGAACATCTGTGGCCACACCCATAATACATGAACCAATTAAAAAAATTACACAAATTGCACCAATAATACTTGAAACATTCACGTCATTTACACGACGCATAACGTTTATCGCCACATAAACCATAAAGCTTCACCATTGAGCTTATCAATGTATAATAACGAAATTAACAGCAAATTAAAAATTCAGTTATATTCTTAATTTAAAATTTTAATATTTCGGACAGTTACGATCCACAGAATAACATAAACGATATTTTTTATCAGAGCGATTGACCAGAAATATTGAATAATTAGGTAAAACCATATTAATAACCAAAAATAATTTAGCTAATTGGTTAGGTATGTTTAATCTATACATAGTATTATTATGATGGGTAATGGAAATAAACTATAAACTACCTATCTACTATTTAACCAAATTAACTTTGATATTTATGATACTGTTAATAACTATCCACAAATATGAATATCTTGGATAACACTCAAAATATTGTTGTGTGTTACGAGAAGGCTCTACAACAAAAAATAGGCCGTCCATTTCATTTCTCATCCTCCGCTCATCTTTACATATAATTAAGTACTCTTTGTAGAAAAAAGAAAGCCACTTATAAGAGGCGTGAGTACTTCGATTGTTCTCGGAAGATGTCTGTTGCCGACACTGACTTTGACCTAATTGATAATAATGGTGTCTTATACATTGATTCAATCCCTGGTGAAGACTTACAGGAACATTAACCATAGCACTATTAAACAGAAGATGAATGGCTTCATTTATTCAAGCTATTAAGCTATTCTTAAAAGTTTGTATGTAACCAATGAATTAATATTGTTATCACAGATAAGACAATAGTATCCGATATTATGTAATATAAGAGGCATAAGATGCCATCTTGGTCCAGTAATCTTTATATTCGTATTGTTCACAAATGATTTCATGTATAAAACTGGTTTTACTTGCAGACTAGCGTCTGACTCCGTCGAGATAAAAAATATACAAAGTATATGAGCTACATCTGTCTGGAATAATGTACGATTATACATATTTTTACAAATAAGTCGTGTATTACCTTAGTTACGTAGAAAATCATACTCATATATTTAGTTAGTATATAGTTAGTAGTATATACTTTAGTTTTTACATAATTTGTAAAACAATGGAGCTATATTTTGTTAAGATCAGTTAATCGTACATGGTAACTAAAGTTTGAAGTTATCAATAGTCATACTGTGATAAAGACAGCGAAACGTCTGTTCATAAAATTTTGCACCGCAATTATGTACTAATGCAAGAGCTAGGAAAAGATTGGCCGCCCAACAAGAATATGAATACTAATTGATACTGTACCGGCAATAAATCGAGAAAGGCGTATGTTTCTTATTACTTTTCAAGTTATTTACTCCCCGTACTTGAAAGAAGTTGATTTTCAAATATAATTCTATTTAGAAATCAAGTTCGTTCTAAGACGTGGTGACTGTGCAGCAGGCATCGCGTGGCGTGACTGCCACACCGCTCTAGATAGACAGGTAAGTGCCTACGAGTATTATTTCAAACATTCGGCGGCCTTACATAATGACCATTTAATTGTAGGTCAACACACTCTCGAGATATCATGTCTATTAAGTTCAAGTTTGAATAGTGCGTGATGAACATAATGTAAGTATTATTATATATCTGTAACATAAGAACTATTATTCGGAAAATTACCTATTTTTATTTATTTAAATACGCTTAGATGAGCAAGTGATTTAGATAAATAAAGTTCCAGGTTCAAATACTGATTAAACAAATTTAAAAGCAATATGTTCTGAAGGCAAAGATAAAATTTTAAGTAAAAAAAACAGTACTAATTAAACCAGATGTGAGCATCAACATTCCCTTTTACAGTTAAAAACTGGATATTTATAATATTTTCTACTAAAATAACATGCAAGCGATTCTCGTTTAAATCTTTTACTACAAACATTAATAAAATTTTGCTATAGGACTGTAAAATAATCCTAATTTTATCGCATAATAACTAGTAGTGACTAGGGACATAAATATTAGATGCCATTACGAGATTAAACACGGCCAATTAAAAAGAATCATGTTGATTCAAAATTGCCAAATGTATGAGACATACATATATAACTTCACAGACATTAAATACCATGCATAACATATACACTTCTCCATTTTGAAATCGGTTAAAAGTATAAATGCAGTATTCTAATTGAAGCCATCTTAACTCCCGTGCTAGTTTGCAAAATATTCTTATCAAATACAATACACACGAGAGACGGGATCAATGTACGACGTACAAAAATGTGTAACACTATTATACTCGAGATCTCTTGAAAGTCAATAACAGATGTTATTCATATACTCTGTCTGCGAGGGAATTATCTACAGCGATTGTAGAGTCAATTCGATCGGAGCTAGAGCGGGTGTGGGCGGAACTCACACGTTTTTGCAGTGCGAAACTAGCAGAGGGAACTTGTATGTTGTACCGGTCGAGACGCAACCAGTCAGTTTATATTCCGCGGCAGCTGGCGTCGAGTATGTCGCGGTCATTTACATAGTAAGTCGAAGATAAGCACACTATATTTAGCACAGCTGGAGATGCGCTCTACACACCTCTTGGTGCACCTATATACATGTCACATGTACCCAGGTTGCTTATTATTAATGTTTTGAGTCTTACTGATATCCAACTAAATATATAAATATTACAGTTCGTTTGTTGCTTCTTGACCCTGTGGACCGATCCCTCATAAGATGTACCCTCATGATGGTAACGACCTCAAAAGTCTTGTAGGTATTTATGACTACTGACAGCTTTAATGATTTTTGACATTGATTAATTTAACTAATGCTGGTGATTCAAAGTCATACTTTGTGGCGAGATCTATCTACAACAGAGGGGGATAGATAGGCAGTACCTAATCATAGTATTTTTGAAATAAGTATTATGTAAATTGGTATCATTCTATAGTAGTAGACTAGCGACTATATTTTGAACTCGGTATTTATAAACTCAACCTCTAAGAAATAGAGAGTGAAACTTTGTATGGAAAACCGCATTGTCCGTATGGCGAAACCACATTGAATTGCTAGTTCATTACGAAGAGAAAATTATTTAATATTGCAGGTAATTGACAATACATCAACTTACCGACTCGTTTACGTAGAGCTGAACCGAATTTAGAATTTGGATATCAAATGTGTTTTACATTTATGTCCCGAAATTTAGAAAATTCTATAGGCCATTGAGGATAAAAAAACATTTGAAATTTCTATTATTATGGGAATTACGATATATAGGACCGATAAGTTTGTATAAAAAATCAAAGAGTACAACCCCGAAATGTAGAAATTATTATACAAAGACTCCATAAAAGAAGCAATTGTTGAAAGTGATTATATAAACCATTCATATAGATAAAATACGATAATCACGGTATTTTTTAAACATGAAATTAATATTTACTCAACTATCGCCACACTACCATCATTGAAATTTAAGATATACCTTTTTAACGCTGTCTAAAAAAGTTTGATTTTTTTTTAAACTGCTAAGTTACCTTACGTTAACCAAACAAAAACGCGTAAAAGATTATCTAACAACGTTTGCAGTAAGGCTAGTAAATGATAACATACTAACAATTAGTAATATATAAAATACTCATACTGACATCATCAAGTTAATCAAAGTAAATACTTTCCAAAGGTATTTGGAAAGTAAATACATTGGAGTTGGTGTTTATCCGTTAGAATACTTATAAAAGTAAAGGAAACAACGTCAGTAATGAAGTAGCTAACGGTGGCGATTTGTAACACTAATTTATTTAAAGCCATAATAAAGCAAAGAAACAAATATTTCACAGTTAAGTGGCAGCTTTGTTATGCCTGCAACAGAGAGCAGTTAACTTTAACGAGAAAAGTGGCAGATAACTCATGTGTCGCAGCAAGTAGCGTGTTGATGCGACTCGTCCGCTCGTCTGTATTATCTGAAGCACTGGAGCGATAAAAACGAACAAAGAACAATGTCAGTCGGCGCTTAACTCCCTTTCGCACGAACCGAGCTCACCCGGTTTCATATGACAAAATAACATCAATTTGTTATAGTCGTCCATGCAGCGGCCGCGCAACTCCGCGCTTCGATGATCGCATGCATGCGTGAACGCAACTTTATCGAAAACAATATTCCATATTCTAATGAATAAGTAATGATCTGGCGAAATCGAATGATTCAACACGACAACGTATAAATATTAGCAGAGTTTTAAAACGCCAAGTAGCCACAGCATTAGTGGGTGGCTACGGTGGTAATTGCTGGAGTGTAAATCCGCTACAGGGCGTGTCGCACGACCGGCAATGGAAGTGAGTGTGCGTGCAGAATTTTTAACCGGGCCGGACTTCGCGCACATCAGCCGTATCTTAGTGAAAGATAAAATTCACCAATTTTGTATAATCTCGTCCGATTCTATTTTAAGTGGGTAGGTAGGTGAGGTACTTTTTACATCTGACTATGTAATGACCATTTCATACACTTAATGACCGTTACTTATTTTAACAAAATTGGTCGACATCGTATAAGTATTGAAGTTATTCTCAACTCCAATTTCACTAATGGGAATGCTATATATTCATGTAAAAAATACAGAGACTATATATAGACAGACAAAATATAGAGAGACTAATGGAAAAAAATATTCGTTAAAATAAATTATCTAACGTAACTTTATATAAATATGTAAACTACTGAAACAACTTTATAATTGAACACATCAGTTTCGATATAAAAAAAAATAATTTCTCTAAAAGCGTATTTGCAGACTTGAGAGAATTGCAGTTCCTAAAAATAATAAAAATGCGGGTAGTGTAGAGAAAATCGAAAAGGACTTACCAGGCTTTGACTCGGATGAGGACCTCGCCTTCTCCAACGGTGGGCACGGGTTTCTTTTGTATTTTGACAGTTTTCAACCCGACATAGCCGGTGAGGACGACCGCGCGCATTTCCTTAGGTGGTGTAGCCTCCTTTTCCTTTTCTTCGGTTACCTTTTCTGGAGTTTCTTCTGGGGGTGTTTCAGTAGAGCCATTCTCAGTGGGAGTCTTTTCAGGCGCGGCGGCCACAGGGGTGTCCGTGCTTTCCGTCATATTTAGTTCGGCTAAAGTGTAATCGGAGCGGTGCGGCCAACGGACACGGTCAGAACGAGCTCGGGTAAAATAATGGGAGCCAACCGGCTAGACGACGCGTCGCGGAACGAATGAGTGGAGGGAAGGGAGAAGCGCGCGCAGCGAGCCGACAAGGGTGCCGGGCGCGAGGCGCGCGGGCGACACGACCACCGAGGGGGTGATGCAGCAGCGGCGGGGGGCGGGGGGCACACGCGCGCCACCGCGCGGCGAACAGGTGGCCATCGCGCCGGCCGGTTTCCTTCCCTCACGCCGCTCACCCCGCCCAATATTACACTATATCACATCACATACGAAGCGACTACACAGGACCTGGATTAAGTTTATTACTCAGATGCCGATATAAACAGCAATACATATATGAGTATAAAACAAACTATAGCTCGCACGTACTGTACACACAACCTATATGTACTTAGTTCCCAATTTTCTCCAAACGTGACTTGGCAACGGGATCGATATGCATTGACTGAAACTTATATTACATATTATATATGAATGTTAATAATATATTTATATATAGATACACGTACTTAAAAAAAAAACTGTGTCCATATGCTTCTACCATAAACATAATTTTGATAATTCATAAAACTACGCACGTTCCAAATCTCAGTTGTTAAAGGACCATCAGAAGGGGAAACCAAAGTTAAATTTTAGAACATTTTGCTCGACAAAGTAGTCCTAACAAAATTAGTAAAGTACCAACAAGAGCGTAATAAAACATAGATTCTAAAAAGACATTTATCTTGTTAAAAAAAATTTAGATGAATTAATAACCTGCTTCTTCTCGCTAAAATATATTTCAGAATTTAAGAAGAGGCATATGACACATGTTCGATGTCATTAAAAAAATCATTTCCTGTTACCATTAACGACTTTTTGTTGGGGATGGGGATTTGATGGCAATATATATTTAAATATTCTAATATAAATTATAACGTTAATATAAAATTTATATTAATCTACGGTAAAAATAAGAATGTTAAAACAATATGAAAATAAATAAAAGTATAAACAATCATTTAATTTAAATCAAACTTTATACACAGAGTGAGATAAATTTCATGAAAATTAGTTAAGTCTTGATATCTATTAGTTAACTGTTTACCAATCTTATTCCGAAACAAAGTGTTTGCAATATTTCAATATACGAGTAGATATATATATATATATATATATATATATATATATATATATATATATATATATATATATATATATATATATATATATATGTGTGTAAGGCTGGTACGCACAAACCAGAAACCCAAATATAACGGCAGATAAGAATCATTAAAAGAAGAAAAATTACACAGACATCCAATAATGAGACAAGAGCAAGGATTTCAGTTGCGATTGAGTTTTACCAGTATTGAACCAAATTTTATTTTTATTCGACATATCAGTGTGCATTGGTGTATGCTTTTAGTTTACAGATAACATTGTTGATATAATGTAAATGACGTTATTAACAATCAATATGACCTTCAATTTTAAAATAAACGCCACGCTTCATAATTGAAATTTTCTAACAAGAACATTCCAGAAAATTCCAACCACATAAACGTTTTTGATTAAATAAGTATATTCTCAATAATATTCTGTGCCCATATGAAAGTAGAATACACACTAAGATTTTAATTCGTTGTGAGCTTAGACAGAATTATCTAAGTTGTATGATAAAGTGTTTCAAATACTTGAAAGAGTCAATGACTGACAATAAGTGATAAAGTGTAGTAGTAGTATCTAATATTGAGTGCTTATTAAAACCTAATTTAATTAAGTACATAGTTTTTATTAATTAATATGGCATTGCGAAACGCTGGCTGGGTACCAGCGGCGGATAACAGTATTAAGACAGATTAGTTAGATTAGAAAAGAATTCATCAAGAATTAACCACTATGGTTTTTTTATGGATGAGAATGCAATGGTGGGTGCACCATTGCATTAACTGCGATAACGGCTTACGCGGGCGGGGCACCAGTGGAGGATGATAAGATGAACATAAGGTCAGGTCAGTTAACGCATCGTGACAAATTCACTAGGAATTTATCACGATGGTTTCCGGGGGGAACCACGTGGAGGTCAACATTTACATTGCTAGTAAACACATGTCATTAGAAATCAGTCTTAAAGCGACTTCAAAAAGAAGATAATAAATTCGACATTATGTTATAAACGAAACTTCGATAGGGTATATCTTTCAACTATTAAAGATCGAACTACTATTTAACAACTGATACCACTGGGGCAGATTGGGACAAGGGGCACATTGATACACATGTATTATTTCGTAAACGATTAAATGTATTCGAGTAGTGACAACTCTGAAACACGACTTCTAAACGCGACCGTTGTGATTACGCTAACAGCCAGTCAACCGGTGGCTTTTAGCAGGAGAGAAAATGTTTCGAGCGCGGGTAACTAAAAAAAATGTGAGATTTAAAAGTGTTTTTACGATCTGCTGAGCCATCTTGTGATGATCAATGTATCCCAAAGGTAAGTTAGGGCATCAAATATTAAGGACTTTGCACGTGTTTTACAATAATTAACTTAGTATCTTTAGTGAAACCTGCTTTTTATAAAAATTATTTTTGGGGAAGTTTGATACAGGAAAGTACGGGGCACAATGATACGTATCAATGTTCCCCATGACTTCAATAAAGTGTTAATTTTGTAAAAAAATTGTATTGTATTTTCAGAAAATGGTGCGAACATATAAACCAAATACTGAAAGATGTTACAGGTGAAGACTCAATCAAGTGGGCCGTATCTAAAGTTATTTCAACGAGATTATCCATACGGAAAGCAGATGACAAATATCTAACTGGAACTCTACAAAATCGTGTTGAAAAGTTTAGTTTTAGAATTTATGTTAACCTATTAGATTATTATATTTATTTTTTAATAAACGAGTCAAGTATAATTTGTTTTTTGTTTAGCGATCCTGTTTTGAATAATGGTGATATTCTGAAGTATTAGTTTTGTTAAGAAACAAGTGTTTTTTTTTGTTAAAATGTATATAACTGATTGTAAATTAATTATTTCACAATAAATGTATTATTTTACATGAAAGTGTTATTATTTAAAACAGATTCATACAATTTCCACTCTGTATCAAAGTGCCTCAATGCGTGTATCAAAGTGCCCCGTAGGTGGGGCAGAATGATGCAAAACTGTTTTTTTACTGAAATCAATATATCGTTATATCTAATATAATTAAGCGGGTATTTCGGACCAAAACATAAACCTGAATTGTTGACCAATGCACACGACAAAAAAAAAGTTGAAATGTGATGTTTTTAGTATATTAAAAAAGGCTTTGAATTTTTGTGCATCAATCTGCCCCACTTCCCCCTACTATCTAACTAATTCGACTATTAAGATTACAAAAGTGACGGAACGCAGTAGTAAACTTTTTCAAAATTCGAAAATCAACGAAGTAACTTACAAACATTAGTTCGTTGATTTTCCAAATTTACAGATACTCGTACCTATCGTAAATTGCAGGACAAGATATTTACTTTTTAAATAATTCTTAGCTTAGAAATCCTTTTAATAAAGAAGTGCTTCTATTATAAGTATCAAATACAAGTGCTTACTCACATGCTTGACTTGTCATTGTAGCATTTCTACTAACTTTTATCACTTTATTTGACTGAATTCTTCGATCTTTATTCATGTCGATGAGCCATGAAGTAAAAGTACCTAAAATTATGTAAGCTGTATACGAGTCTGGATAACCACATAATTACAATTGGAATAGTATGTACGAAGAATAACTATAAAACTTACATATTTAGAAGCTATAATTGTAAATCTAATTAATTAAACACGATATAATACTATGTGTAATAAATTAGTACAGGCATTTAAGTATGAACAAATATTGTAATATGTTTACAAACCTTTTATTTACATTAGTACCTAAGTACTAATGTAAATAAAAGGTTTGTACCGGGCACTTGCTATATTTTTAATCTGTACCTAAATACAGATTAAAAATATAGCAAGTGCCCGGGTTTTTATTCAATTGTTATATCCACTCGTTTTCCTTGTAACTGAAATGATCCTGTGACAAGACGTTGGGTAAATGGGAACGACCCGGCCTTCAATTGTTGTGATTGGTCTGACACATCTCTTACATTATTATTATTATCACAATTTGTTTACTCTTGTCCTTCTCATACAATGATGCGTCATTTTATTATACTACTGTTACCATAAATAGTATAGGTACATATATAATAATATTATTTTTCTGATTAATTAGGACTAGTGACTCCATTGCTAGCAATTTATCACGTGGTCCGCCCTAGAAATCCTAGAGAGCTCATGGTGAGCTAACTAACCTGACCTCGTCTCATCTTATCATCCTCCACTGGTGTTGCGCCAGCGATACTATTGGCGCTGGTGGGTAAAGCATTTTCATTATCAACCGTAAAAATATTCTTCTTTAGAAAGGATTTAGTTTTTTGTACGCTAGTTATGGATGAACGGTAGAGATAGTGATAAAACATGTTGACGTCCATTAGGGCAGAAGATGGCCTAAATGAATAAATGATTATGACATAGATTTTGATATTAATTTTTTAATTTTTATTCTATACATTTTTCATTATTTATTTATGCGACGTCAGATATTATTTTTCTGCTTCCATAACTGTTTCCACAGCTTTTTCCATAATTCCGCAGTCTGTATTCTCGAAAATCTTCAGTTCAGTCAGTTCTGAAAGTAGTTAAACTAACTGACAAGAAAGTCTGCCGTCACCCTTATTAAATGTTACTGTACATTATTTAGACATTAAAACTTAGGTTCAGAAAGAATACATTAACCATAAGCATATTATAATAATAATTTTTTTTGAGTTAATGAGACAGTAATAATTTGATAGAAGTTAGGTCACTCGGTCAATAATAGCAATCCTTACTTTTTACTAATATTATAACAGTGAAAATTTCCGAGTGTGGATGGATATTTGTTACTCTTTCACGCCAAAACAACTGATTGGATTTTAATTAAACTTTACAATAAATAGCTTTCGCACCAAAACAACATAGGCTATAAATTTAACGCGGGTGTAACCGCGAGTACAGCTACTGTGTGATAAATTAACAACAATGGTTTCAACGGAATATCGGTACAAAGTAAGGGTAGATTATTAGTAATAGATCAATAGTGCATCCATTATTAATTAAAAATGATTACCCCCAATCTTTACTACCTACGTAAGTAGCTCTCCAGTGCTATTTTACGCTTCTTGTTGTAGCACCAACCTTAGCGGTAATACAGTAATCGACGTTAAAACGGTATTTCAGGACGAAGTTTATATCGGTAATACGTCATTAAATGCTGAGACATTTATTCGGGATTCCCCACACTCTGACAATGTGGTCATCTTAATAGCTCTTTTACGTTCTTTCTGACTTTTCAACCGACCCCGGCCGAGATGCCTCTTGATATTATTTATATCGAGATCGAAGACCAAACGGTATCGCGGTCTTCGGCATCTGACGAATATTCTATGGTATCTTGTGGTAGAATCAAAGAAATGACTATTCAAAGTGCTTATATTTTATTTAAATAAACACTAACTACGACCTGCATATATTTTGGTAAAAAGTACCCCGTACTGATATGATATGATTTACCAAGGTACAATTACACAAGTCGTCCACGTGGGTACAACGTCTTTTCGTACCTCACCACGAAGCAGCTTGCTTTGTAATTTTTCGATTGAAGGGTAGGATATGGCGTCTTCACTTCTTCACTCTTCTAATAACGTGAGGACCACGTGCTGTTTATGTATATAGGCGACGGATACCATTTACCATCAGGTGAGTCACCTTGCTTGAAATTGTTCAATAGCTTGGCTATGATAAACATCATCATTGATATCATAGAACGCGTATGATGTTAATTGATGTCATTTCTGTGTAGATGTTATATCTTCAAATTCAGTGATTTCACTGCGATTTATAATAATAATATAAGTTAAGCAGAACTTGTATTATGGTAACTAGACAACTGATATAAATATACCTATATACATTTTTTAATACATACATAATACAAATAGAAAACAACCAGACCGATACAAACAATCATACTCATGAATACACATGTTTATACCGTGCGAGGAATAGAGCCCTGTTACGGTTCGACCGACGACAATCGACCATTAGATATATGGCGGTGGTGTGCTAAACCAAGATCACCAAGGCTGTATTTAATTTTTCAACTAGGAATACAAGTATGCAACTACTAGACAGTAGAAACAAAACTGAGATAACTCTGAAATAAAATTCCTTTTAAACAACAATATATTGTAGGTACTTGTGTTGTAGGTTTATTTCGAATTTTAACACCACGGCTTACGGACTTTATTTACGAATTTAATAGGTACCTAATGAACAAATAAATGTCTATACGCTAGTGTGAGTCTTTTTCTCTGCCGTAATTGTGCTGTCGTAAATGTCCTCGCTCTCATCGTAATAGTCGTCTTCGTCCTCGTCTTCAAACTCTTCGTATGCGTTCTCATCATCATCATCGTCTTGATCATCTGCTAATCGCCACTCATCATTCGGTTTGCGCAACTGTTTATGCAATTTGTTCTGAAGAATCTACAAATAAATACAATAAAACCAAGTCACTTTCGCGTATGTTTCATTCCCTTACTTAATGCTGTAGGTATATAACTAGCGGAGCCGCAAACGTTGTTTTCCCATATAAATTAAAATCGCTATTAAAAAATAAGGGTTGATGGTAGAAGGTGAAAATTTAGGGGTGTATGTATTTTAAAATGCCACATTATATAGAAATAAAATTTTGACCAAAAAATTAATGTTAGGGGTGGACAACCCTTATCACTTGGGGGGAAGGGGATTGTTAGTAATGTGGACTGATGATCTCATTGCTAGCAATGTACCATATCAGATCGACCTCCACGCGGTTCCCCCTGGAAACCATCGTGATACATTCCCGGTGAATTTGTCACGTTGGGCTAACTGATCTGACTTCATGCTCATCTTATCATCCTCCACTGGTGCCCCGCCAGCGTAAACCGTTAGCGCAGGCGAGTGCACCATTCCATTATCATCCTTTAAAAAAAAAAACCCCTTATCACTTAGGAAAAATAGATAGTAGCTGATTCTCAGACCTACTGAATATGTATATAAAATTTCATAAAAAATCGGTCAAGCCGTTTTGTAGGAGTATGGTAACTAGAGTTCCTTCCCGGGAATTCTCGGGAAATCGTTGGGTTTTGTTCCCGGGAAATCAAGCTCGAGAAAAGTCGAGAACTCGAGAAATCAAGTAACTATATAGAAATTAAATTGCCGTTTGTTGTATTGCGTGGCGGCGCAATAATACAAGATATTAAGGTTTTCTTTGATGTATTTTTTTTTGTTTTACAGAAACTATTTTTGTTTACAAGTTTAAGGTAGATTTTTTCTAAATAACCAGCCAAAAATGGTGCTGTCATTATAAATATAAGTGTGAATAATATTAGGTCCTAATATATGAAAGTGGTGTTTTGTAAGGGAGTAACCTGAAGTATTTTTTTTTCAAAATATAACATGTTTATTTAATCAAACTATGTACCATTGCTATTTATGCACTTTTGCCATCTCATAGGTACTTCATTGATCCCTTTACTGAAAAAAAAACATTTGAATGGGAGCATTTGGACATATCAATAAAATCTTTGGACTTTGGACTGCCCCATCGGATTTGAATTTTTTCCCAATCAGTTATCCAAATTTCGAAAAAAATGGTTATTTGTTGGAGCAAGATCCGGGGAGCAATTGTAAAGTCTTAGACATTACAATTGAATCTCTCCTAATTTGGTAAATGTTAGTTGTGCAGTATGTGGTCTAGCGTTGTCCTAAAGCAGCAGTAGCCTACGGCGATTGACCAGCCTCGGTTGTTTAGCAGCTAGCTTTTCCATTATAGTTTCTCAATTGTTGACAACACACATCTGGCGTAATCATCTGACCAGATTTAAGAAAGCTGAAGTGAACAACACCGGAACTAATCCACTAAACGCTCGCAAGTAACTTTTTTTGGGTCAATTTTCGCTTGGGGCAGGATTTGGTTGGTTTGCCAGGGTTCAGCCATTACGATGAGCGTTTCCAATTATGATACAAGATCCACATCATCACAGGTAATGATTCGATTTAAAATCCCTTTATTATTATGCCGGTTGACTATTGTAACGCAGCAGTCTACGCGCGTTTGTCGATCGAAACGCGAATTGTCTACTCAATTCATGAGAGACCTACCTTTTAAGCTTTTTCACCCTCCCAATTTGCTACAAGTGGATTAATACAGTTTTGTCACTAACACCGCAACCTGCAACTAACTCGGACGTGGTTTGCGATGGATCTGCTATCATAATAGCCTTCAATTCTTTATTACCAACATTAGACTCCAGCCGCCCACGAGGATTGTTTTGCAGGTCGAAATTTCCAGAACGAAAAGGTTGCAACCAAAAATGTATTGTGTTTTCTTTTACGACACCACCACCATACACATCATTAATCCTTCGAGCCGTTTCTGCAGCACTAGTGCCATGGCGGAACTCGTACTTGTACTTGTAAATGACGCGATATTTTAGGTTTTCCATTTTGTAAGCAGAAAACCCAAAGAAAAAACCAAGCATATGTATTACGGTTTTCGAAAAACAAATGCATGAGTGAATAGCTGTATAAATTTGACATTGAAATTTCTAACCAAAGAGGAGATATTTAAAATCAAAGTGGCCAGTACGACAAAACGCTAATTTCATTTGTAAGAACCTAATATATTTCAGTATTTAAAAAAAAAATGGCTTATTCATAATATGTATAATGTTTTTAAATATACCTACTCAATAAAAGTTTTATACCTAATTAAAAATTTTATATTTAATATTTAACAAAAAATGCAGTGGTTTTCGTCTCAAATGGAACCACTGAGTTTTTTGACGTTATTGGAACCAAATAATATGAGAAAACGTACGTAAATGTAAATTTCTCGACAACCCGAGAAGCCCGAGAAATTAACCTCGAGAATTCTCGAGACCCGAGAAATTGAAAAGCTCGAGAAATCATGAACCCTAATGGTAACTAACATTGTGACAGGAGAATTTTATATTATATTATATATATATAAGAAGACGATAACGATTACTACAGAAAGAGTTTGTATTACATACAAAATGCTATCTTAGATTACGGCAAATTACTTGAAAACTATTTATATGTGGTGACCACGTGACATTAATAAAAACGCTTACTGCGCAGCATCATTGTCTCTGTTTTTGTTAATTTTTTTGTTGTATCTGTATCTAAAAAAGCCGGGTATTCCAAATATGTTTTCAACAAAGGGTTGACTATAAAGATTTAGTGTTTTTGTTTAAATTAATACCTAGCTTGAAATAGACATAAGGATTTAAGTACCATCCCATTTTATGAAAATTAAGTATGTCACTTAGTGGTGACTTCAATCTTTACCACTATTACCACAATATGATTACAGCTACATTTTTCTATACAAATATATTTTTTTCCACATCTCCTTATAATCAAAATTGTTCTGACAGGCTTAGTGGTAAAAAATATCATACTGAGCCGAAATCCAGTAGTATTCATGAAATCAATATTCTAAGTATATAGTCTAAAATATACATACACTCAACTAATAACTAACATGTACGTGATGGATGCGTATAGTTACGATGCTGTAAATATGATATTAATTAAAACCATGAAAATGCTTCATACCTGTCTTTTCTGTAAGAAATCAGCCAACTGCTGTTTCTGTTGGTCTGTATCCAGCTCGGATGCTTCATAATCTGATGTTCTATACGTTATAATTGCTTTATTTGAGTCTAAATTGTTCCAAGCATCTTTGCTTCTCTTCCGCGTAGCCAATAACCTACTCATAATCTTTGCATGGTCTAATCCATAAACATTGTGAGTCATTTCCGGTATAGGCTCCTGAGTTAATGGCGTTTCGTCTTCTAATTGTTTTATCTTAGCCTTAAAAGATACATAGATTAAATAGTTATATCATTAAAAATATGGAGTATTCTTTAAAACTACCTATGGTATGTTATTTCGTATCTATATGTAATACAAATAGAGCTGATCTTGTTACGTGGAATGAAAACTTCGAAACCACTAATGATTTTGGAAACGTATAGGTACATTCAAATAATATCTACATATGAAAGGAGACAAATATTATTTTTAAAGTCGGTTAACAATATCATAAATTTATGAAAACAACATTTATGTACGACTAAAGGAATAGTTTCAGTTTCTAATCGGTAGTGTGTATAGGTAAAAATGTGACGATACCGTTATCTTTACAGTAACAATATCAGGTATAAACTTTACACCCTAATGGTCCAAATTTGTCATAAGTATACAAATATTATTCTCTTTAAAAAAAGTACGAACTACATCAAATTCTTTTATTCTACGGGTCAGTTTTTATTCTCGTCAATTAATATATCTTAGACAATAACGTAAATGAATTCGCGAAAATAAATCCATACTGATCCATATTGATTCAAATGCGAAAGTTCGTTTGCCTGTTTGTTGTTATTCTATTCAATATATTTTAATGAAATTTGATGTAAAGATAGGTACGAAGATAGACATTAACTATCTGGAAAAAGTCAGACAATATCAGATAGTAGTGAATAAATAAATTCATATAATATTAGCCAAAGAGTGGAAACATCTGCTTTATCTGTTAAATGTAAAAATAACAATTTTAAATTTGATTAAGAAAACATCAATAGCAGGAGCTGCGCATATCTATAAGTAACAATTTTTCAACAAAAACACGGTCGCATTATCTGTGTACTTACATTCTTTGCAATTAGTTACCCCTACTATTTCAATATCAACATGCTTAGCATACCTCTTCATTGCGTGTGTCTAGATAACGACGTCAACAATATTTTTCTTTTCTTATTTATCTTTAAAATCCAAAAATTCAATCCATAAGGATCCTTTTCGATTATTTATTTACTTTATTTAAGCAAATTTCATAGATTTATACATATTTTTATGGTACAAGTCAATGGCAGCAGAGGCTACGAGCATCGCGAAGCCTACCGGTTAACACCAATCGCAGTCGTCTAGTACTACCGCCTTCGCTCGAACTGATTTATCATTAATTTTCTATTTATCATTCATTACTTAAATGTTTAATTTTTATTATAGATATTACATTACGTTGAATTACCCTGTATAACGTATAATATGCCTACCTTCATTTCAGGTGATAATTTTGTATCAAGTGTAAACTCAGTTTTTAGTAAATGCCCGAGTTGCGTAGTTTGGTAGTCCTCGCCGTAATCAGCTATTGATAAACGACGGTCCAAATCTGTGATCAACGCTTCATGTTTATCTGTTGTACAAAAAAGACCAATTATAGTTGTAGGAGGTGATTCCTATTACATACTGGCCCTACTACTAGTACTGTTCCATATCAATATGTCATTCGCCCTGGAAAATCCTGGAGAATCCTAACTGAATCATGATGGGTTAACAAGGATGGTAGGAGGAGTATGAAGTCAGGTCAGACTTCATACTCCTCCTACCATCCTCGACTGATTCCCGATTCTGATCTCCTCTATAATAAATTAAGAATATACTATAGGAATGTTTTATATTTATTAAAATACTTAAAAAATACTTTACAAGGGAAAATCGTTTTCCACACCAATTTTTTTTTTCCACCACATAAAAACCACTAACAATCGTGATATTTTTTAATGGAAATAAAACGGAAAATAAACTCCTATACATTCTTATTGACTCTTTGTACACAGAGGGTTACAATACAACACTTGTAATGTCGGAAAGTCGGAACAGGCGGCTAATGTATTAAGATATTAGGACTAGACTTTGCAAGTCAGCATGAATCCTGTACTTTTACTCCCTTCAGTATTCATAAAATGCCATGTTTCAAACCAATTTCAGCTTAGGTGCTCACATTTTCTTTGTGCCATTTTTCTAATGAGAATAGTAACATGATACTTTAGCTATGATGGTATGGTTTGTAAGTTTCAATTTCAATTATTATGAGACATCACTCACTAAAAAAGTTTGTTTTTATTTTTTTTAATACATTTTTTTGTGGTATTTTGCACACCTGATAAAACAGTTTATGCTGCCAGGGTACTATTGGAGGATGCTAGGATTAGAATGAAAACAGGCTAGTAACTTTATTATAACAAATTCAACAGGAATTAATCACAATGTTTTCCAGGAAGAGCCATGTGGAGGTAGAACTAAAATAGTACATTGTAAGTAATGGGGCTATTAAACTCTTGTCCCCCTGATAGACATAAGTATTAAGACCATATCTTACCTTTAACAAAGACTATATATGGAACTTCTCCCATTACTCTAAGAGTGGAAAGCTCATGTCGTAATGCGCCTGCAGTGCTTTTTAGTACTGATTCTGTTTCATCATCTGAGGCATCACCTTTGCAAACCCAAAAAACATTTACAGTTTGCAAATCGGGAGTAACTTGCACCTAAAACATTTCCTTTTAAGGCTATTGTATGAATAACTTTTTAATTTTTATATTCATTACGTGGCTGCCTCTGTGGTCTAGAGGTTTTACACACCACCTTACTTCTGATGGCCGCAGGTTCAATATACTGTATGATTGTTTGTATCGGTCTGGGTGTTTCTATGTATAATATGTATGTATTTATGAATAAAAACTATATCTATGTATTTGAATCAGTTCTCTAGTATCCATAACACAAGATTTAATTAGCTTAATTTGAATCTAGATGGAGCTGTGTGAATTGTCCTAAGATTATTATTATTGCATTGATTATTTTCATGTCAATGTATTAAATATCTTATTTGGATGGTATTTAAAAGTTATTTCATCTGGTTATTAGACACAACTAGAAGTTAGTAACAATTATTTTTAGCTTTTTTTAGAGACAATAGTTAATTAGTTAGAACTTAAATGTTTTTATTTAAACTTTATACTATTTATGTATTATTCAAATACAGATGATTCCATAAATTGATTAGCGAGTTCAGAAGGCGTTTCTTATTACAAAAAGTACTTCATTCTATTGTTTATATACCTACTTTAGATATTTCAATGCCACGGCCAACAATATCCATTGAAACAGTGCCCGTAGACATAATGTCAGTAATTTGTTTCATGAATAATTTGTTCAACATTGCCACTCTGCGGACTCCTTGCTTACCAGGTTCTCTCTGTATTTTTGTTAAGCTTTTCACGCTTGGCATAAAACTATTCTCCATTGTATATGGTAGATAATAATGCCTAGAAAATAAACAAATAGGTCGTTCTTTAGCGCCTTTATTTAACCTATAAATAATTAAAATTTTGTAACGCTAAGAACATAAGACTTACTTCTTATTTTTCGGATTAATCATTTTACACAATTTATTTCCTAGTTTTTTAACAGAATAATATGTAACTGAAACATGATACAATCGGCGAAATATCATTTTGGTTGTTGAAACTTGTCAAGTGGATAAAACTTTTAGTCAGGTCAATCCAATATTCAGACTCAACTCTTCTTTCTGGAAGCAGTTTATTTCCTTTATTGACTAAAAGACATTACTGATATAATGTCCAAATAAAAATTAAATAACAAAAACAACAAATTTTAAAAAATTCGTAATAATGTTGTCAACGTTACTTTGCCATAGTTGGCAACATTAAAATTTCTTCTTCTACAACATGTATAAAATAAATATACCTATATACCAACGGGTTTTCTGTAACCCGTTTGTATATATATTTAATTTATTTTACTTTAAAAAAATATAAATATAACATTAATACAGTTATTATTTGAATTACAAATTAGTACTCAAGATTTAGTCTACTATTAAAATAATGCTAACACTAACATAAGAATAAAATTCTTATACTTATGCATTGAAATGATATCATTTAACGAGGTGTAATTTCCTATCACTATTAATAAATAGCTTTATTAAAAGACGATAGCATCAATTTTATTTTTATTTAAAGTTAGTTATTAGTTTTTCATTTTTAGTGCAGTTTGTAATAAATATATAATAACTAGAATAGTTTAAAAACTCACTTTTCCTGAAAAATACCAAAAATCTTACGATTTTTAGTAGATAGAAACACTGATTGCATTAATGTCATTTTGTGGTACTGGTTCCCGCCAACAAGTTGTCAAATTTGTCAAAAATCCCTGCAACTTTCTTTTTACAGAAATTTGTTTTGTTTGTGTAATTAAATTATAATAATTCATCAATACATCTAATCCTCAAAATGTCTAGATCAGAAGACAACGAAGAAAATATTGTGACAAAAATAGATAACCTATGTACAAATTTAAACATAGATCCTGTCTTTGCAAAAAATTTCAAGAATACATTTTTAGAAACCAATCGTCAATACACGCTGGAAGTGAGTAAATACAAGTAAATTATAAAGAGTATAAATTCTGAATAAACCTAGCTTCATAGAATCAATAACAATCAATATCTGTATTTATTATAAGAACGTTTTGTCTAGTGGCACAAACAAATTTTGGAGACCCTTGCAATTCCCATATTTATAATAACAATCTTGCTAAGCATTAATTATTACAATACTTTCACAGCAGATGCAAGTGGAATTTATTCATGGTGACTTTCAATTTCAGGGTGATATAGTGCATTGGATAGGGTGTGCACTATATGCAACTTGTCAGATGACTACTAATTCCAGTGCACAATCAGATACTGACTCTGAGGATTATGCTATCAATATAAGCCTTACAGAACTTCTTAGGCTTTGTAACCTAAAGTATGTATAGACACATGTTTATGATTTTTTACCCATAATGTTTCCTTCTTGATTATTGCCTATTTTGATAAGAGGAATTGCCTATTTTCTCGTTCTGGTACAATTTGATGGGTTTCAATATCCATAATCGTTTATATTTTATTATAATATTTTGTTGATTTTTGAAGTAATGTTTCTTCTAAATCCAATCTTAATACTGGTTTCTATCTAATTAGTTTTGTAACATGCCCTTGTAACATTCTAGAGAAATGTGTAAACTAATTACAATGATTAGTATATATTTATAAATGATGTAACATTATTCAGTAATTTTACACATAAGATCCCTATGATAAGATTTTCTATTTATTCTTAAGTTTATTTTAAATAACTTAAGAATAAATAGAAAAGTGCATATTAAATGATAAGGTAACTAATTTTTACTTTTATTACTTTTTATGTGTTCATAGTTACAAAAATGAAATTTTACAGGCTTATTCAGTTCTTCAATAAAATAAAATTATGGTCTGATGTTGCATCAATGTCAGAGGATTTTAAAAAGAAAATGAATGATCTGGAGGTCAAGTTTGTGGTGTCTGCAATGCTGTCTAAAAAATTTAGATCCATTTTTCAAGAAATATTTACAGGGTTAGTTTATATTGAATAAGTTATTTATAATTACTCTTTTTTTTTCTTTTTGTCATTTCTGATTAAAAAATTCTGCATATTTTTATTTCATACAAAGAATAAATACAAAAGAACAATTCAGCACAAACAACATTTTATTTTTATAATTGCAAACAACCTAGTGGACCACCTGATGATTAGTGGTTAACCATCATCTATATGAATGAACCATAGAAATCACATCAGTGTGTAACGCCTCATCCTATGACATTCCGGAATATTTATATGTCATACCTCCATGTCCTCCATTTTATTATGTTATCTCACCCGCCAACTGAAATCATTTTTACAATACAAGCTATTTTTCTGTGAAAACATACATCTACACAATATTGTAATAAGTGTTCAGTAAACACTAGAAATAATGTATTAAATGTAATAAATCAGTGTTTTATATATCCTATTGTGTTGCAGGGCCACTAATACAAGTAATTCATTGTTTACATTCACATGGTATCTGTATATATGTGTTAAAGGGGAGTTTCCCAACTCTGATGACTTAGTTGACATGTACCACTTGTTGTTGTCTAGTCTTGACTATGTTTATGCCAATGCCTTTATGACCAGACGTACAGATCTCATCAATCCTAATTTTAAAGGTTTGTATTGTGTGAATCTAATAATCTATAATTCTTTACTTAGTACTTACTACATTTTTTTAGTACTGTATAAGATTATTCTTATTTACTATCCTGTCTTTAAAAGAGGACAGTAAAAACTATTTTAATTTCATGATTTAATATAAAAGCAAAATTTCTGAATTTATTGTCATTCAAGATTCATACAGAATTAGCAAGAAAGATAAAAAGAACTTGAAGAATGTACACACAAAAGTTACAATAAATTTAAAAGTACACTCTGAAGTAGGTTGTATTTTTTTGTTTTAAAGGTCTACCCAATAATTGGCAAAGTGATGATTTTGAGTTACCAGCCAATCCGCCATCTCTTATATCGATCCTTCAAGAAATCATGGATGACCCTACTATGAAATTAGCTGTTGAAGCACTAATCATGCGAGAGTACAGTTGGACACCAGTAATAAAATCCTTCTTTGATAGGAAGGTAAGATCTCATTTATAAATATTAATGATTGAATTAAATATATTTAGGAATATTAAAATAATTAAGCCTAAACATATCATAATGTTATTTTAAACAAGTAATCATCGTGGGCTGCTAGCTTCAATTTGGGTAAAAAGTAATTTTGCATGATATAATAGTAATCCAGATATCCTCAGAAGATTTCCTGTTGTATTTAATAGAAAGTTTCTTGATCGATAATAGTACAAATAAATCAGCAGACGTGTAAATTATACCACTCTTCCACGGTCACCCATCACTGTTGGAAACCATTGTCTATTATATATATATATAGTTAGAATTCATAATAATGCTCTAACTATCCTAAATTCATACTCATACCTTTGTGGCCCTCTTGTGATTCGCCATGGTACACTAAGACCCCGCTTAACGCTGTTTCGATTTAGCGCTCCTTTATTTCAACCTGGGAATTCGTAATTGGGGGCATTATCAAATCATTCACACGTAGTTGGTTGGAACTATACTATTTTAGGGTGATAGAAAGATGTCGAGGTAATAGTTCAAGAAACATCAGCTAGCCTTTCTAATAAGCAGGTCAATGAATTAACTGAGCAAGAAGAAAACAAATATATTGATAGTAGTGATTCCAAAGAAAAGAAAGAAAAGCCCTTGGTTAACGCTGTTTCGTTTAGCGCAGGAACTTATTGGAACGTATCCCCCGTGTTAAGCTGGGTCTTACTGTATACCTTTAGCAAAAATCCATACCACTACCATAAAATAACATTTTGGCAACGACAATGTCGGATATGTTTTAACATATCCGACATTGTCGTTACCAAAAAGTTATGATATACTGTTATTTCACTTCATTATTACAGATTTTAAAAGGGCACAAGGAGCAACTAATGGGTGTATTAAATGTGGCTAGCTTTGAAACAAACATAAGTGCTTTGAAAAATCACTATGAAAACCATGTTTTCAGTGCTATGGAATTTGATGAACGAATTTTTTTGAGTGAGTAATAATAGGCTATATACATATAACAATGGGTGTATAACATTGCCTTCTACTACTTACAGCAATATTTTGTTCTAAAACACAGAATTAGAGAATATTAATCACTAATTAGTAAAACAAAAACAATATACATGACAAAATAAATTACTAATTACATTAAATACTATTCCTGTAAAGAGAAACTACATTTATTTTATTTATTTAACTGGAGTGGCAAGACACAATACCATCTGTTTGAAAGTGGTAACCATTGCCTATATAGATTACATAATGATCACATCCGTTGGATTTACATATATATTACTTATATTTATAATAAAAAAAAGAAAACACCCTAATACTAAAAGAACTTATCCATGCTTACTCATGAATAAATGTAACAACAATAATATTAAAAAGATTCTATATTTTACAGGTGATGATGCAAAAGAACAGTTTGGAATCATGAATAGAGATGAAACTGCAACGCCTGAAGTGAATTCAACATTTGAGTCCGTGAGTTCTTTAGTAGTATGTTTTACAGTATTAGGTGTCCACATAAGATTTTATATTTGTGAGACACTCAACAGTGTAACGAGAGGATTCTCTACTGCAGAGCAGAGCAAGAAAAATAGGTTAGGTTCCAGGTTGTAAGAAATTGCTTTGAGCGATAAAGCCGCCTTTTGTTAACATATTAAGTTATTTTTTTGGAAATATTTTTTCTGTGCACTATAATAAGAGTTATATTATTATTATTATTAGCTCCCACTCTAAATAAGTCTGAGAGACCGTGACCATAGCAAAATACATTTTTTTTATAATTAATTAAAAATATACTAATATATAAGTACTTATTAATTTAATGAAGAAAGTGCAATGTCACTTTATGTTAGATAAAGTGAAGACCACATCTGATGAATTTACGGGGTGCAGATGTAATATTTACGGAACTACACAGAAGTACTCTTACCTTTCTATTCACAGCATATAAGTAAAATAAATTCATTTGAGGCATCGCTTCCACAATGCTGTATTATATAAATACTTAAATTTAGTCTGTTTTGAATTTTGTTTACTTTGTCTATGCACAGAATGGGCGAGTTTGTCCAGACACGCCTTTGTCGGGCCAACGCTACCTACCGCAGCAGGAACTTTTCCTGTCACCCGTCTCCGAAGCCGCCAACAGCTGTGCCCACCTCACCTCATACTTACAAGCATCAAAGCCACAACCCTCCACCAATCTGTTGAGGCTCTTCTCGTAAGTTATGAGAAACTAGCTGACCCGCACAACTTCGTCTTAACATAATTGACATTTAATTCACCTATTTTAAATAAAAAAATTAAATGATATATTACTGTAGGTATAGTTTCATAATTATTTGCACATTTTGACCCACTTAACACTTCCTATGCCACGCTGTATTGTGTTGACTGGAAGAAATCACTTTTAGAGATAAGTTCTCCTTTGTTATAAGTATGTATTTCTAATTAACATGCCTGAATAATATATTTAAGTACAAAGAATGTATAATACCCTTTGGATAGCTTTTAAATAAGCAGAGAAATAAATTAATACAGTGACTTCATAATACCTATATTTTTCATTTCAGGGAGTGTGGAGTGAGTGAGGAATCAATCATTACGAACTTAATACAGCCGTGCAATGCGTGGATAGCGCAATTTTCCAACCGACTCAGGGAGTTAGAGTGCAGTAATGAAATTATTGTATACAGATGCAATAGGATCACATGCTTATACTTCAAAATTCTTGAACATATTATTACAGAAGAACACAAAAAGAAACCTCAAGTTTCGTTACAAGTAAGTTTTCTTATATTCTTAGAGGTAAATACAGTTCAGAATTATAAAAATGTAATGTCTGTTATAAAAAAATGTGGCATCAATCCAGAACATTTTTTTTTAATATATGTTGCATGACGCGATTATAATTATACAATATTACACTATCATTTTGCAGATGCTGCTAAGTCAAGACACTTATCAGCTCGCTCTATATGCTTGTTGCACGGAAGTTATACTCCATGTGTATGGAGTTCATTCACTCCGGTTTCCTGAAGTTCTCAACATCTACAATCTCAGTGCCTTCCACTTTTACAAGATCATTGAATTGGTGGTGCAAGCTATATCTGATAAACTCAGTAGAGATACTATAAAACATCTAAATACGGTAAATAGTATACACTTTCCCCAATTAAATACAAATACACAAATTTCCCCAAAATTTTTTACTGTAATCAAGAATTGAGTACCGACTGTGGTAGTGAAATTGCCGATAATATTACGATATCACACAATTGAACAAATATTATGTGCAGAATCTTATAGCAAAACAGAAATACTAATTATGGTATAATAATGGTAAATATAGTGGTATTTTTACAGGTGCCGTAAAGACGGTTTATAAATACTTTTAATTGAAATAAATTTATGTCATAATTTCATCTCAGTATGACAAGAAAATACCAACAAAATATTTAAAAATTCGCTTAACAATTAAATCTTGTTTTCATGAAGGTTGAAGAACTGGTACTAGAGTCTAAGGTGTGGAAATCTGATAGTCCTCTGTGGGAGCAACTACAGCGTGCGTCTGTGCCGTCTTCTGCAGAGGTTTCCTTGTCGGAGTCACCAAACCGCCGCAATAGTTAGTATTAGTAAAAGTGTACCCACATTGAGATTAAAGAAAGTTAATAGAGAAACAAACTAATTACTTTATTTATAGGTGTGCCTACACTTGTAATATGTCTGTCAACACTTGGCACCTTTCCATTAGCTACACTTATAATATGTCTGTCCAGAACAAGTAAACAATGGAGTATTCCGCCTAAGATTATAAGTATAGATGCAATGATGGTAGGGCGCGACAAAGCGGAACCCGTAGACAGGGAGGCCTGTGGGATTGCATCGGAATGCCATGAACTGGTTCTACTTACGTACGTAATACATACGTAACTGATCAGACATAAAGCCTTCACTCAGATTGCTCTCCCCCCTTGTCGGAGTTATGCAGTATAATTGGTTTAAATATTTATGAACTCAAATACTGTTCAATTTTCGATTTGGTTTTGTATTCAATATATTTTGTTTATTGATAGTTTTTGGATCGGATTCTAATTGTAATTTATAATATATAATGTAATTTCTAATTGTTATATATATACATATCTATATATAAATATATAGGCCGGTAAACCATAAAACGTTAATAAATGAAAATTGTAATTAATTTTAATGGAGATAGATAAAATCAACAAAGGCACGGACCGCTGTCTGTGGAAATAAAAAAAAAATATGTCTGTCAACACTTGACACCTTTCCATTAGTTTACAATTCAATATATCTTCAATTTAAGTTCAGTATAAAGCCAGTTTACAGTATAAACAGTTTAGTTCCGAATCCGCGTTACTAATATGCAAATTTAAAATAAATAGCACAATCATTTTAGCTGTATACTCTCTACTTAGTTACTACAATAAACAAATATATTATGTAGCGACACCTCGCCGCATCATACATAAGGCTACATTGGTGAGGTGATGGCAATCACCAATGTAGTGCCATGTGTAATCTAATGTACCCCGCAACACCAGCAATAGTATTTCCGATACGATATTGAAACCATTAAGAAAAGAGCTTATTCCTTCTTAAACGGCCGGCATCGTACTTGCAATTCCCTTGATGATGCAGGTGCTCATGGGCTCAAATTCACACCATCAGGTGAGTCGCAAGCTCGTTTGTCTGTGCTATTATAAAAATATAATATATCTATTTTTAGATTTACTTCAGTCGCCTGCGTCTAATGTCATGGAGCGTTTTCTTGTGCCTTCGGCGGAGCATGCCAAGAAACAATTGTTCACAGATAACATCAAGCCCGGCCAGTCCTTACTAGGTAATGATAATATTATTACTTGTAGTTAACTCTTAAATTCTACCAACGTGTTGTGAACTTCAACACAAATTTTTGTTCGTCCTATTTAAAATTATTTTCTTTATGTTAGTTAGTCTTTAAGGTATGAATAGTATGGACATGTAATTAATGTTAATAGTTGATATAAAATTAATATAAAATTCATTTCCCTAAAAAAAAACCTTTTTTTGGTATAGAATCATACAGTAAGTGCCTTAAAATTAGTGCATTTACAAAAACGTATATTTTTAAATGTGGGTATAAATAAAGCTTTTGTCATATCTGTTTGTAGTATGTGAGTTTCATAATCTAATAGTTTATAACGATATTAAAATTGCATGATTTATTTATATACCTGTATTATATATCATTATATGTTTTTATAGTTTCAACAAATAACATAACTGTTAAAGAAGAACCAAGCACATCGCAAGCGGGACAGAGTTCAAGTAACGGTGAAACATCTCTTGCTCCAAATACGCCTAAAAAACCTAATAACTCTTTAATACTCTTCTTTAGAAAGGTATGATGTACTTCATAATATTTATTTCATAATTTTCATATTATTTGGTGACCGAGTCAGTTTGAAGGAAAGTGTTAGTGGAAAAATGGGAAAAAGCATACCGTATTGGTTTTGGCAAACAGATATCCATGTCTGTTAGACTAATTATAGATGTACAAAATAATATAGACGTATGGAAAGCATTATAATAATATTCATATATTTATTCTGACTATGTACATGTGGCTTAAACCTCCTAAATAGCCTAACTGATTATATTGAATTATTTTATGTGTGTTAAGTGGATCACTTGATTTAGATTCGCAATTGAACCCGATATAGCTTGTAGGTCTATGATAAAGAGATTCCTTGAATATTTTTTTTATCTCATCCAAACGAAAGCCTCGGGTCGGCAAATATATAATACTAGAAACCGTGGTGGATGGCTTCGCACGGCTGTACATACATTATACATATAAACCTTCCCTTTGAATCATACTATCTATAGCTAAAAACTGCATTAAAACCCGTTGCGTAGTTTAAAAGATAGAAGAGAACAGACAACGGAAGCAACTTCATTTTATGCAATACTAGCTACTCGGCCCGACTTCGCCCGAGTGTACATGTATTATACATTCTTCCAACCTTCCTCCTGAATCACTTTATCTATTAAAAAAACGCTTCAAAATCCGTTGTGTAGTTTTAAAGATTTAATCATACATAGGGACGGACAGACAGCGACAGCGACTTTGTTTTGTACTATGTAGTAATAAAGATGTACATACAGAAATTTGAGAATAGGTTTTTTTTGTAACAGTTCTACAGTTTGGCGGTGTTGCGTATAAATGATTTATGTAAACGACTGGAGTTAACCGACGAAGAACTCAAACGTAAAATATGGACGTGCCTTGAGTACTCTATCATGCACCAAACTCAAGTGTTGAAGGACAGGCATCTTGATCAACTTCTTTTATGCGCTGTCTATGTCATCTGTAAGGTGAGTGTCAAGACGACATGCTAAGATGTATATGCTCTTCACACAAGATAACTATGTAGTTATCTTGCGTGAAGAGCATATTCATCTATCCATTTGTCTAGAACTTAACTATAAACGAAAGTTTATATTTAACGGAAAGTTTATATTTGTAGATATATGGTTTTTTCTTTCTCGCAATTCTTTTTTACGCACGCAGATTCTCTTTTACGCAAAAACCACTGAATGTCAAAAAACGCTTTTTTGCAAACATTGGAAATAAGACTAGAAACAAATATCCATTGGATATTAATGGCCAAATCTAACCTTATAAATAAAACATACTTTTTAGGTAATATTTGTCTGTTCATTAGCTCACCAGAATAGCTAATTTTAAAGATAATTCATAAATTGAACCCAGCAACTTGAGCCATTTCATCCCAAACTAAGCAGAGTTGTGTGTTATATTCGACTTATAGATTGATTTATTGTTTTAGGTATCTAACACTCAAAGTAATAGGGTAGAAAGAACTTTTGCAGACATCATGCGGTTATATCGCCAGAGACCATTAGCAAATAATCATGTATATAGATATGTGTTGATCAGAAGAGCTACAGAAACTGGTAAATATTACTTCTATTATTCATTAGATTAAATTATCTTAATATTTAAAACAGTTTCAAACATATTAAACTGTATTTGAATCATTTTTAAAATAACTTTTATTTTATTTTACCTCTTGAAACAGACTAGAAGTGTATCAGAGATCCCAGTTTTTAGAAAAACACCTTTATTTCATTGTTAAGAACCATTTTGTTTTATTTGCAGAACCAGAGAAAAGAGCCGATTTAATTACGTTCTATAATGCCGTGTACGTGCCATGTATGCAAAACTTTGTTCTGAGATTTGCTGACGGGAGATTAAGAAATGTAAGTTTAGTTTATTGTAAAACTAATCTTTAAAAATAGAAAATAAATATATAATTTATTTTCAAATAATCTTATTAAGCACTTTACAATAGTCATATATTTTTTTTAATCTACTGCTCATTCGAAAGTAATAAGGAGCAAGAAATTAGCATATTGCACTGTTAAATAAAGGTTGTCACAATTCACATTTTTAAGATTTTATGTGAATACAAACTGCCCAATAGCAAGAAAGGTTGACAAAAGTAAATGAATGCAAAAGTTTCTTTACTTAAGTAGTGGTACTGTACCATGGAAAATAAATATGTAAGAATACTAATTTGTTTTCCATGGTACAATGGGCTCTAACAACAATGCATGTTTAGTTTTTGTTTCGAATATATGAGTATATTCGAAAAAAATACTCAACTGTTCTGGATGATGAAATACCTACTGGCCACCCACTTACTACACACCCAAAGAGAATGTCTCTGCGTTTTATACTAGTAGTAGTACTAGTGCTTTTTATACATATCCATTAAAATAATATTACAGATAGATCAAATTTTTGTTTTAATTATGAGTGAGAATAATCATTGTTATTGATTGCGATATGGTGTTACAGGAGGCGGGCATGCTGTCCCCGCTGCCGGCGACGCGCGGGGACGCGGCCAGCTCCCCGCTGGGGCTGCGCGTGTCGGAGAGACACCAGCTCTACGTGCGGCCGCTCACCGCCGCGCACCTGCCCACCTGCCAGCTCACCTACCGCTTCAGCCGCAGCCCCGCCAAGGTACAACCACTTTACTTGTAGTGTGACGCAAACTAGGTGTGGATATGTACATAAGTACACAGTGTAAATAATGGAGCTGGCTTAAAAAAAGATATTCAGTTGAGTTTCTTGACAGTTCTACTCAAACTGTAACTGCATACACAAACTAAGTGTTGCTTTCAGGATGCCCCGGTCTCCTTCCAGCCGACGTACAGCCTTAGTCGAGCCCTGTTAGTCGTTACTCAACTACTCTTACTCTTCATTATAAATTATATTGATACATTTTTGTAAAGTTTTACAATGTATATACTATTGTTGTAGCATATCTTTTTCGTATGCCATACCCTGCACGGGGAAGTTTTTGATACAATACAATAACATTTATTAATTATTCCACAGGACCTGCACGCAATAAACACCATGGTGTCAAGCGAGGTGGTCGGCATTAAGCGCGCCAGTGACGCAATCGGTGGTGAAATACTCAAGCGCGCGCGATACTCCAACCCGAGTATGACACGCAAACTGCAAGGACTTGTGAGCGATCGACAGGCTGTTTAATGGTAATTCTCTTGCCTTTTTTCATACCACATCACTCTTGAAGACTAAACTAAGTCTTTTCTTTTTAATATTTCAATAGCCTTGGAAAATCTAACCATTTGTTGGCTGTAAATCAAACTTTTGATTTTTGCTTACTACAAATTACATTTCTACCACGATACCAGCGGAAGACCTTTTATTAGCTAACTTCGAATTTAGAACGTCCTCTTTTTTAAGTTTTTTTTTTATTACAATTAAACAGTAATTTATATTAAATCAGATGAGATACTTCTACTATATAGAAAGACAAAAAAAGAAAATAAGGCCACAAAAGAAAATACTTTCTTCGAATTACAAAAATTGTAACCAAATTAATTTGTATTTATAAACGGATTGTGTTCAATCTAGATGACTATAAACATAGACTTATACATCATTACTATTGAAATGTACGTAACTATACGGCTACTGTATGAAAGCGCAGTTACAAAAACAAAATACTCATAACCCTTTCTGATCATTAGAGAACATATTGAGTTTATATCTATTGTTATAATATTATATTAACCAATTTTTATCATTTTATTTTCAGGTTCTAGTTGGAATAATTTTTATTACTATTCCAATTTCCTATCTACTGCTTATAGCTCTCTAGGCGCCTTATTTCTATAATTTAAATTATTTGACGATACATTGAAATATGAAATCAACTATATTAAATTTGACAAAATATTTTAAATGACAAGAGACGTTCGATTTTATTGTAATCTATTGAAAGTACCGAGTTAACTTTTATACATAAATCAAGATTATATTTAGATTAAAAACGAAATTAATAAATTGTAATCGATATATTGCGGTCGCAAAATTATTGGAAAACAAAATTTGTCTACAGTAAGGGATCATAAACATATATTTTGATTAAAATATATTGTATAATTAAGTGAACTATTAAGTATTCATCACAGAAATATTTTTTCTTGTAGCATATTAATTTAAAATCAATGTTTTGTAATTATTGCTTAATTAAGGGTTCAGAAGATTCTTTCTCGTAACTGAAACTGACATTATTGACTGCATTGATCTCAATTATCTCAAAGATACGCCATATTATTATTTTAAATAATTATGCTCATTATATTTTGTTGTAAATTTATGATACAACTGAATGGTTATATATTATTACAATTTGAATGTTTTGTTTATTTTCACTCTTTGAATTCATCGCGCGAGGGTATTCATTTTGAAATTTTTATTTTTTACATTATATTCCTTTCTAATGTGCTTCCTTAGTTTTGAGTATATTGCACTGCAAAATGCTGCGACAATTATTGTTTATGATTTGGTTGTAAATATTATTCCCGGTATGAGTTCCGTAAGTTATATAGATTATGATTTAAGTAGTATCATTATTTCAAACGATCATGTCTGTTTATTAATAATTGCTACACGTAACTCGTACCGGAAATTATATTCAGATTTCCCACTACATTGAAACCACGAAGGTAAGGTATAGGAGGGTATATTTATAATTATTGTTTTCGTATTTGACTATTCAATAGTGTTTGCATTCTGTTGTAATGGCTGCTAAAAATTAGTATTTATTGTTCTCTACCATTCGCGGATTTCTTGATAATAAAATATGCAGCCCATATTAGTCACGGATTAATAATGTATGGTTTTCCTGTTTGAAGGAATTGTTGAAATTAGTTATGTATATATTTATTTACTTAACTAATACTTAGTGAGAATATATACCATTCTTTGTGGAGACTGTTTATTTGGGATTATGTAAATTATTATTTCATGTACTGACTAAATCTATTTAAAATCATTTATGTGTAAATATAAAACAATTAGCTTTCTAATTTGTATATTATTGACCAATATAAATCTTGTTTTACCTACTGTTGTATGTGGACCAAGTATTTTTTCTATTTGAATATTGTACAAAAATAACTTTTAGTGCGCATTGCTTACGTAAGTACGTATTCGGTCCTCATTATAAGAAATGTATTTTATTTTGCTTTCATTAATTTTATCAATATTACTTGGTATTATACTTAAGTAACTAAATAATCAATTTATTTTTCCTTTATAAAGTTTTATCATGTATTCCTTGTGTAAATGCTATGTAGTCGTACTGCGGAAAAAGACAATTTGCTTTTTTATATAAAAATTATATTCTATGTTGAGATGTTTTATTTTGGGCTCTATTATTATACAATATAATCCTTGAGATTCTAATAAAAATAGAATAAAAAATATATATTTTCTCAGAAAAACATTGTATATAAAGTTTCATTTTTAAACAATAACTAAACTAACAGTTTTTTGTCTGTATTGAGTCCAGTCTGCATACAATCCTCAAACATTTTGATTTATATTATATGTTACAGGGATATTGACTTGTTTATAGATAATGCTTATTACCATCTTACTTTGAAACTACTTTGTATAAAAATAAATACCACATCGTAGAAATGTTTATTTATTACTACATCAAACATGGAACACATTTCCTATACAAATGAAAACAACGCTGTTTCTATTTCACACACACCAGATAAATATAAAGTTATTGTCAGTCGTATTTTACCAACAAAAATTTTCTATCTGTTTAAAATGTCTAATTGATGGATCAGTGCTTATGTCATATAATAGTAATATTACACTTATATGATGACCATATCATACAGTGCTGGTAGAGCAAAGACTACATGATTCACCATCCTCTTTTCATTATATTATTATTATTTATTTACAACACTAACATTCATTTGCTTTACTTACTATGACTGCTCTGACCACGTTAAGGTTAACATATGAAAAAATCATGAAATATGCATTTTAATGTGCAATACTTGAAAATGTTACTCGCAGTTATAAAACTACTATATCAAATAGTACATCTAAAAAATTCAAAATTAATATGTAGGTACTCATATTAATTTTACGATTCATATGCCTCGTACACTACAATATAGAATATTTTACACTAATTACTAATCAACATCAAAGTAATTATAAAATTATCGTGAAATAAAACAGTCTCACTATGACTCCTTAAACAATGTCTTATGTGTTATTCTGTTGTATAACTTATTATTGTAATTTTTCATTAAAATATCTATCCATATACACTTGCAAACTTTTGCATTTATAATATTACTAAGATGAACAAGCAAGAGTTCTCATTATCTTACATCTGAATGAAAACATAGAGTAATAATAATAATAGAGTAGCCTACATGATGGAATCTGTGGAGATGGGAGAAGATCGCGCGGAGGGAGTTGCAGTGGAGGCGCGCGAATGCGAGTGGGGTCAGGTGGCGCGCCCCTTGCCTTCTTTGATCGCGATCACGTAGCGCTGCGCCACGCGCTCCGGAGGAGAATAACCGTCTGCGTACGAAGAATCCTGCAACATATGATTTTTATACCTTACTATCGACCCGTACACCAATTTCTCGTATTTTTTGCATTATAATCTGCGTGGATTATACATATAATCCTTCCTTTTGAATCACTCTAGCTATTGCTGAAAATTTCATTAATATCATTCTTCATCAACTTCATATATATGTATGTACAGACAGCGGCGGCGACTTTGCACGACGCGCTTACTAATTCAGCTGCACGCAACTAGTCAGTCAAATACGAAAATAGGTACTATGTTATTATATCAAACGATACTTCAAAATCCTACCAGTATATATGAAGACTAGAGCATTATGAACAAATTTATACATTTTATAGAGGAATAGCTGCTACCTACGACTTCGTATGCTATTTTTGACACAATAAATATACTTTATGTCCGTTCCCGCAATTTTTTATTAAAATCCGTTAAGCCATTTAGTCGTGAAAAGGCAACAAACGGATAATCTGATACACTTTTACATTTATAATATTAGTATAAGTGGGTGATAAGTCTTCATATCTTTTAACAGTTTATTCTATTCGACCATGGAAATCAAGACACTTATACTTCTCGAGACAGTAACTTACTCTGCTAAAACTACAATTGTTGATCAACACGCTTTTATTAACGCACCTCGAATAAAACCTCGTAGGGATCGGCTGCACTAGCAGGTAGCCGGTTAACGACCGCCCGGTAGAAGCACGTGGTCTGCGGATAGAGCGCCATCACAACGGCGCGTTTGGGGAATAGAGCGTGCTCGTCGGTGCGAGGATCCGCACGCATCAGCGGCAGTGGCACCACTCGCCGCTTGCTCAACACGTGCCGGTTTTTCTGTTCTTCGTCTATATCATCTACTTCGTACTTGCCTTGAGCTGGCAGCCAACTTACAACCTAGACAATGTTAAACTAAATTTATTTTAAGAATGGCTACACCAGTGTTTGTTCTGGTGCCGGCAGTCCAATGATAGATCGCGACACACAACACTCATGCTATACGTAGCCTTATTGACTAATGCTACCGAACTTTCTTTAAGTTATTATTCCACATTATCATAAAATTATTCATATTAAGACCCCGTTAATTATATTAATAAACTTAAGATTTTTGAAGCAAAGAAAGAAATAAAACACTTATGATGAAACTTTGTTTTCCCCACATTTCCTATTTCAGGTACTTTGTTTTGTAATCTTCAGATGTAAGAGAAACAAATTACACCTTTCGTAACAGCAAACGAAATGTTTATTCAAATTTTAACACAAACTTAAATACTCATGACGCCAAATATGGCCATTTTGTAGACATTTGGGATTGTAGTAAAAAAGTCAGCATTTAGCACATGCCTGATTCTGTTTAGAAAATTAGAGACAGCCAACCTCGGCTAATATCCAGTTCTCCTCCTTGTCGGAGACGCGCACGAGTGCTGCTACGGCATCACCAGGCCTCGCCACGTGGCCAGGATCGGCTGGTGACGCCCCACACAAGGGTGGAGCACGCTCTCCTGCAGCCCCAACATGCAACGGTAGCGTCTGTGCAGCGCTCAACAACATTTTCATTAACGCGCCGCACCCAATCGTTTCCTTGTTACCCGCATGTCGAGCCTGTCAACACATATTAACCTAATTATTAACGACCTATTACCATTCTAGTTGATCCCGTTATTATGGGCGTATGTATGTAACATAGTTGCTAATATTTGTCTTAAGTGGTGAATTTATCTACTATCACTGCCGACTAGGTTTGGTATATGGTTTCTTTGCTAGTTTACCTTCAGCACTAGTGTGAAATGCTTTAGTGTATAACATAGACAGTAGTGATTTGGAAGTAGGAGCCTCAACAAAATAACAATAGTAATGTAATGATAATTGAAAACCTAACTAATGTAAAACACAATAAATATACAGATCATATGAAAGTTTATTATCAAACATTACATTATGCATACTTAAACATTACGTTACATATTACATACGACCTATATAAGCACACTTTACCTGTATTCTTCTCTCATTTTTTATAGCACGGATGTCGTATATGCGTGTGAGGGCAGCCCGCAACAGCCTCTCTTCTTGCTCAGCAGCTGTTAGTCCATTTTTGTAAAGATTTTTTAACTGCATTTGCTAGTAACAATAAAATGATTTATTGTAGTAACATTAATGAATAGTTTTACATGGATAAACATAGAACCTATATGTATACATTTATTTCGACGCCCTCGGTGGTTTAGCACGCCGCCATACTTCATATGGTTACGGGTTTATTTCCTCACACTATACAAACATTTGTATTATCATAATAATCAGATAATGCTATTAGGAATGGCGTATTATTATTATTTGCAAATAGATGATTAATAATAATACAAAAGTGTAATATATATAATTAAATTTTATTGAAATAGTGTAGAAAAGAGGGGGTTAATGCTGCTAGCATTCTCTACTAGCTAATCTCTATGATAGTACACAGATATTTGTTCAAGTTTATTTGTTCTTTAGCTCTCTTCATAGCTTGTTGAGCTACTTTGAGTCAGGGGGCCAATCATATCGTCAGTGTACAGGTTTCGGCACCATAAGTCAAAATGAGTAGGATACTGATTATATACCTTTGTTTTAAGTCTTTGTGGAAGTTATGACAGAACACAATGATCATAATAAGGTATATAAAATCTATTCTTATGCTCCTAGAACCATTATTTTGTTATTCATGAAATAATAATAAAAATAAAAAAATTATAATTTAAATTTTTAAATTATATTTTAGGAGTACCTGTTGTGAAGAACTGGAGGAATCATCTGTATTTGATGGTGATTCAGCGACATTGAAATGTATGAAAGAAATGTTTGTACCTACATTAAAATATAATTTTTGAAATGTATGCACCGTACAATAACAATACACGTTTCATACCACAGAGTATTTCGATCTTACCAGTTTTTCTGTACAAAATAATGAAAATTTCTAAGTATAGACTCAATCCACTGCTCATTACGACTTCTTTCTGCATCTATGTCATATACTAATTTATGCAGAGACCTTAAACGTTCCTGTTAGATACAGATATGCAAGTTACAGTACATACATTAAATAAAACTTATTATAATATTATTGTAAGTAGAGAAGAATTGTTAGGAAGAAACTATCAAGAGTTTCTTTAAATTAGTTGTTGTTAATAGTCAGCCATAATTAATTTAAATTATAAGTTTGTACATTATTAAGGTTCTATTGTCAAAATTGTGTGTGTGTGTGTGTGTGTCAAATACATGGTAGTGTATATAATGATTTTCTTATGTCTTTTTATGCATAATTTGAAATAAATAATAGTATTGTACACTTATATAAATTATAAGGTCTGAAATTTCATACTCAAAATTGTGTGTGTGTGTGTGTCAAATACATGGTAGTGTATATAATGATTTTCTTATGTCTTTTTATGCATAATTTGAAATAAATAATAGTATTGCACACTTTTTGTGTGTTTGTAAAAATGGGTACAAACTGTATGTATTGTATATTAATATTCATTTAGAATGGTACGCAATTAATTAATTGCAGTGACAGCTATAATAAGAAGTTTTATAGTATTCAAAATTACAACAATATGATAATAGTGTTTGGTTCATTGGCATGTAATATAATATATGAAACTTCATCCAATGGCTCTAATTAATATTAGCAATGTTTAAAAAAAATTGTCTATAATTGACACAAATATTTACATGAAACCTTTATTCTAAGCCACAAAACAATATTTTTGTAAAGTTAAACCCTTACTCATTATATCAACCCTTCTTTCTGGGGGAAAGGAATTCTTAGTACCTTACTACCTTCTCAGGGTAACACCTCCATACAATCCCCTAAAAACCATTGTAATAAATTTGCCATAATGGATTAACTGAATAGACTTCATGCTGATCTCATCATCATCTCTACTGTTGCTCCCGAGCATAAACCGTCAGCGTACCATTCCATTATCATGAATAAAAAAATAATCCCTTCTTTCCGAATTAAAAAAACTTGACTAAAACTTTGCTTGTGATTTTTTTTCAATCGGTAATTCTTGGCTATAACAAACAGTATTACTATATAGGTAGTTTCATTTAATCACATACTTGAACTTGCTGAGCGGCGACATCAGCGGTTAGCGGCATTATGTTAAAGTATCCGAAAGTCTCCAACTCAGATAGATAACGTGAACCCAGCTTAGACAGACGAATATCTGTTTGCAAAACAGTAAACAATGTAGTTGTTGTAGATATTTACTGATGGCTAACCTAGATGTAAATAACTTTTACATACAAGCACTAATATCTTACACCATGTAGTAATAGAAAACATTAGGTGATCTCGTTTTGTAATAATTAATAGTAGTAATATATTTACATCGAAAACACAAATTATTACATTTCTATAATTCAGCAAATCAAGGACCTACTTCACTCTGAGTAGTTTTAACCACAGATTAGAAAGACAATATACTTTTGACATAACAGTACAGACTATTGAATATTAAGAGAACTACGAGAGAACATCTTTTATACAAACTTGGAAAAGTATTTAAAGATAGTTTTCGTTCATTGCTATTTCACTATTAGACCCGTATTTTAATTAAATTACTTTTACATGTTTTGGGGTTATTTATACCATTATTTTCAGAGATGTCCTTTATAGAAAAACAGCGCCACCTGTCGGGTACAAATGGGATATCAAATCATCTATATAATAAAGACAGAATAAAGTAAAACTCAACTTTAAATATACATAGTGACAAATTTTCATGTAATATGTTTAGCCATTTATTAAGAATTACTTATAACAGAGTTGAGTTATATTAATAAATATGATTTTCGGGGTACACGCGTCGGGTTGGTACATGAATATCTCTCTTATTACTACTTCTTTATTATCTATTACTAACTCTCTCTTCCCCTAATACTTGCTTAGTGAATTAACATTATGACTTATACAGATAAATGTTGTTAAAAATAACAATATAATAACTTCTCGCAACAGCAAGCTAAGTATTTAGACTAACTGTAGTATAACTGAACTCCGTGATTTTACCTCCCCTACCATTTCGATTAGCGTTGTATCATTCATTTTTCGATGCAAGTCAGAATAGAAAATCTAAATACATAGATAGAAAACACCCGGAATAATAATATTTAATAATAACAAATTAATAAGTTACACAGTTACAGTTTTATGCACTGAGGAATCGTACTTACAGCCATCGGAAGTAAACCGGTTGCTAAACCTTTAGACTACCAAGGCCGCCATGCCACCACTTATGCTCTGTCTATGATGATCAGAGGATTAATTCATTAGTAATGTGCTATCTTTTATGTTTACCATTTATTTAACGTTCTTTAGAACTTAAAGTAGTTAAACTACGATTCAAATCCGCATTTCATCCGGAAATATTTCATACGATTATACAAATAAAACAACCGTTTTGTTCTTAAGATTATTCTTATATTATCTTAATCCTTCACATTTTATTCCCTTTTGATAACTTTTCTTTTCTTTTGACATTCATATACCATGTGTACTGCAATCTTTTTTTTTTTTGTAAAAGAAACCAAAACAGGAAATATAAGACACAATTGTTGTACTTGTTTAAAACCTAGGCCACAACATTGGGAATATTTAAGTAGCAATGTTTTCAAGCGAACAGTAATAGTTCATCTATTTATTCCAGTATTTTATTTGTAGCCGGGGTTTACTATATTTTACATTCTAGACAGAATTTATTACAATATAAAAAATCTGTGAATTTTATCTATGATAAACTATAATTGTAACATTGATAGATGTTGTATTAACATGTCGCCTGATGTGTATATGTACCGACTGAATTTAAATTAAAAGATAAAACAATTAATCATACATGTAGTTCCAGGCATGAATTATTACACATTATTTTGTAAAAGCCTAATTAGTATTAACATATAAAAAATACACATACATTTAAGATCGTATGTATCTTCGAGCAATAAATACGGTTGGGCACGAAATGCTCCTATTCCTAAAAGTCGTACAAGTTCTTTAAAACTTTTAGCACTGAACTGGTTCTAATCTATAACGATTTCTATTCCCAGTTGTGTAGTTATCGTACCGTGTTAAAGCGTTCAAGCCCACGGCAATACAGGGATACCTGCCCCTAAACTGTGCAAGTAATTTTTATACAGCGCATATAAGTCGTACCAGGAACATACATTGTATTTACAGTTAACAAATATTTCCAAAGTTTATTCTTTATAACAGTATGTATATCGATTGTCAATTTTCTATATTCGCAATCGTGTTTTAACCATATATAATTTTACGTCATGACTACAATTATAGATCACATCAAATATATAATTTATTTTTTTACTTATGAAGTCGCGGATAGAAGCTTTATTCTCTATATTATTAGAATGTCAGCCACTTATTACACTACAACATCACATTACATATTAAAAATACAAACCAATTTAATCATTTTCGATTAAAACATAACTTCATTTAAATTCTATTATTTATTGGGCAACACAGAAGTCTTCCTTTGATTTGAATTTATTTTAGTGAATATACGAAACTGATATAGAACTGTCAATATTACTTGACTACTATTACAATATGAGTAAGTGATCTATAATTACATTGTAAATCTGTACAGTTTATTTTGTATATAAATATGTTCAAATGAAGCGTAATGTTAGATTATGACCCACCTATGCAGAAGCGATGATAACCCAGAATAATTTGAAAGAAAATGACAATATATAATAGTTATTATAGTTTATAAATAAAAATATATAATTTGTATAACGGTATTGTCACACGACAACCTTTCGTAGTATTAGTGGAACGTTTTTTTAATGCAATACTGAAAATATTAATTCTAAGATTCTGAAATATTTACTTTTACCTCTCCTGTTTCGTTTATCAAATTTAATATAAGCCAGACAAATTTTAATTATTAAAGTATTTTGTCACCGTCTTTTTCTTCTCTTTGAGCTCACATTGAATCAGATAGATTAATAAAATTAAGCAGATGATGATGAAAGAATAGCTTTAAATAGATAAAACGTAATCATGATCTTAATTAGCGAAAGATAACCAAATCAGCATAGCTTCACGGAACATACTCAATACAAAGACACTAACACTTATGTTATAACAATTTGCTTTTATAACTTTGTGTTCTACAACACTTAACGTATCAACAATGTTTATGACTCATTTCAATATTATATTACAGAATTTAATAATACTAACATATCTTACTGTTTAATTAAAATTTTACTAAGACGCTTAGACTCAGCTTGTATATGCTCAATGTTCAAGATTCAGTAAATATTAACAGAACTTACAATTTTCATTCACTATAACGGCATATTATTTCCAATTGTAACGTTTCATTTACAAAAAAAAAATACGAGCACATACTTATAACAGTCAGTTCATTATTCATCATAAACAAATTAAAATATTAAATACATACAATCAAACTATGATTGTCTTGAGTGCACGAAGTCTCTGTAGCGAATTATTTGAGGTTATCTACATTAATTTATCGAGGTTTTAAAAATAGAGCGAAATGTTTCCAGTCATAAAGACATTGGCGGCTAGAGTGGTCGTCGCTGAGGGCGGAGCTCACTCGCTGGCCTGACGCAGCGCTCTACGAGACTCGCGCGGCGGGGGCTGGAGCGCCCCTCTACCGCACTCAGTATGGAGAGTAGTACATACCGCGCCTGTAACCTCTGCAAATATTATATACATCTCATGATCATCATCCCCTTATCCTTTCATTCTTGTGTCGATTCACTTGTGTCCTCTTCATTATACCAATATATTCACATCTATGTAGACCATACAAGTCACATTTACTTTCATATTTACATCTATTTTTCTTATCATTACAGGGTTTCCAACTAAAAAATACCGCATCGTTATTTTATTTATACGTGCTTCTGTCATACAGCTATATTGCAGAAACTACTCACTATATCTTCGCGATAGATATATAATAAAAGCAGCCGGAACCGAGTATCGAGAATTAACCCCTCATTCACTTTCATAACTCATCGCACTACATGCCGACTCCAGAGACTATTAACTCCTCCGCTAAATAATACGATATATATGTATATACATATATTTAATAGTTTTTAAAATTACTATACCAATCACATTAATGTCTATTTTTATATCTCAATATACTTATAACATATACATTACATATATGAAGAGAGGCTGGCCTACAATATTTGTTTCAAACCCTTTGTATGTAAGTTCAAGTATAGATTTTGTAACTTTATTTCTACATTCATATTCTACTCATATTTGATATTCTCATTCTCATGGTCCACAACTTATAATGTTCATACCAAATCAACATTTATACTTTTCTCAGTCATGAATGGATGGATGATATCGATTTTTTTATTTAGAATAGGAAAACAACAATTAAGTAAAAGTGCCGGAGCGCAACATCTCTGGTATGCAAAACAATGATTAGTGACCATTTACAATCAGGAAAATCGCATGCTTATTCCTATATAATCTCTGTCTACAGGTTGTGGCAAACAGTGGAGGATGTTAGAATGAAGATGAAGTTGTATTAGAAATTTATTAATAACATAGTACAACTAACACAGCACCATCTCCCATATCTCCACCATCATCCATCTCCAAGCAGAGCTTGTACTATGAATATTAATCAACTGATGACATATTTTAAATTTGTAAATATATATATTATACATAGCAAGCACCCAAAACCAATAAAAACAATCTTATTCATAAATACAAATTTTAGTATCATACAGGAATACCCATAACCATCTAAATCAGACTACCATCTAGAGATCTAGACATACCCGCTAGACCACTTATGTATGTTGTCGATTTCATTAATACACTATTTATAATTATAAATACCAACTTCAGCATACAACCATAAGATACAACATAACAAGTCCTTCTTCATCTCAAAAGCCCTACAAAGCAAAAAACCCATAGACCCATTTTTATATTTATATTATACTAGCGACCCGTCCCGGCTTCCTATTAGCCAGATGCATTACAATTTAATTTCTCGGTTGTTCTATACTATAATACAGATGTATTACATATAAACTATGCTCTTAAATAAATTTATCCATTGCTGACAACTGCACTAAAAACCGTTGCGATATTAAAAACATATAAGTGAACAGACAGCTGCGGTGAAATTTTGTCCCATATTTCAATACTAGTGTCCTGCTGCTTTTGTTTTGTTTCGTGCTTTTTTGCTACATATAATTTGAGTACTGGCTCCGTATTCAGTAGTTTTACTAATGTTATTAATACTATTATCGTTAATAGTTTTACTATTTTTTTAAACTTCAACAGATAAACGAACAGTTAGATAATTAACGTAAATATGTTATTTGTTTCATAAAAACAGTGTTAATGCAAATATAGCTGTATGATAATGAGTTAATAACATGAAACAAGCATATTAATGAAAACCAATGGTCGAATGTACCTTCCACAAAGTGGAATACGTTATATTAATTTGTTTATTAAAATCAGTGTTAATGCAAATATATCTGTATGGTGAAGAGTTAATAATGTAAAACATGCATATTAATTAATTAATAAAAGTCAAATGGTGGTCAATGTACCTTCCACGACGTACGGGCCGATAGCCCGAGTAGTACGGTGAGAAACCGCCGCGGAAAGAGCGACCGCGTCCACGCATCGCTCGCGGTGGCCGGTTTGTCGACGATAGACCCGGTTTGTTTGTACGCTTTGGCATTACCTGTAGTAATAGCACAATTTAAACTATATGGTAAGTATAGTCATAACCTTTTCTAGTGCTAGTTGCAACCCATAGCACTGCCCGGGTGAATCCATGTAAATAGTATTCAATGTGTGAATATAGAAGATTTTCTGGATATGAAATTTCATTAAAAGTTTTCAGTAGTTTTTGAAAACATTAAAATATCTATCAATCATATTCTCGTAACAAATGCGTTAATAATATTATGTTCTTATCCTATTTTTTATACCATGATTTTATTAAAAAAAAATAAAGTACACACAAACTACACATAATCTGTTTATAGCCAAAATAGAATTTAATTGCTTTCAATAAAACAGTAAAAAAATCAGTTTAAACATTGCACAATATACCATAATAATAAAAACAAATTACAATTAGTGTCTGCTAAATTTATATCGGTACCACTATTTAGAAATGGGTATTCTAATATCAAAATAAAATAAAAATTAAATTAATTGTATACTTTTATCTGGCGTCCCCTGAATAATGAGTCGTCCATAGCCATTGCTGTCTGTACACTGTCTTTGTCGCCAAATTCTATATATGCAAATCCTTTTGGATGCCCATCAAATTTATTGCATAATATAGTAACCCTAAAATAAAAATAATGTACACAATTTAGTAATGTTTTTCTGCAATTTAGTACTAGCTTTCCTAATATCACAATTATCAGTAGGCTAATTAAACAAATTATTATTGAGTATCACTGGACAACCATTGCTATTTAAAAAATCTAGTAACATGCTGTAGACTTAATTTTCAAATAGCATTATATAATGTATTTTAATATAATATTACATAGAGGCCATCCTTAAATCATACCAATTCCCCCTTCCCTGTAACAGTTGATCACATTTTAAAAGTTTATAGTGTTGTATAGTGATGGTACAAAATCTAGGACCCTCCCTCCTTATTTTGTGAAACCCTACATTCCAAATCCCCTTCACATGTGACGTAATTTACCAATGACCCCTTAAGATCACATAATAAGGAATTTGTAATTTTAAAGCTGAACTATATTTATCAGCAATAAATAAAATAATGAAGTGATAGTTAGCTCTCACCTATTGATAGAACCACAACCATGGAAATGTTGTTCAAGTTCTTCTGCTGTTGCACCATAGTCTACATTGCCAACATACACAGATCTATTGTCAGCTTCTATCTTCTCCTCCAGTGACATATTCAATGGACTTGCTATACACAACAATAAGTTATCTATATATCATAATGTTAGGCAAAGGCTTAAAAAAAATTGCAAATTATATAAGTGTGCAAAATTTCATACTCAAAATGGTACTATTATACTATCTTTAATTATGCCTAAAAAATACATTTTTTAAATCAATAAAAAAACCATATATTTGACACATTTTTTTATTGGGTTGTTTAGGCTATTGTCAGATGTTTGTAGCAACTGTAGCACTGCAACCTACATAAATTTATTGTGCTCACCCTTTTTTAAAGGTCGCTACCTAGACCATTGAATTTCTTTGACACATATATACTCTTTTGTTTACTGTTGTAAAGTCTAGTCTAGTCACTACTACATATGACTGCACATGTAAATTCACAAAGAAAATATAAAATCAAGCAATTAATTTTGGTACAAGTTGTCTACATATGTACTGTACCTCTATCTCATTTCTTTTAGCCACTAACCAGCTTGGTTTTTAATTCTGATTAGGCAGTTAAATTATATGTATAAGAGGTATGACATCTTAATCCTCAGGAATGGCAATGCATGAGTGATATTGTGGTCATCACCTGATAATCTGATGCCCACCGAAGACCAACTTTTTTAAATTCATGGAATCAATAATACTAATAAATTAATCTAATAGTCTTGGTTGGTTGTTTCAATTTTAGTTTTACTATTTTTAATTTACATTAATCACCAATTTTTTCTAACAAACTTTATATGCATCGTTAGTTCTCTGATGCTTACATCAAATCCACACAATCCAAAAAAGAATTAAGCATCATTGAGTTTCTTTAGGTCAGTTCACATATTCTTCTATTTATATTAACTTCTTGTATTGACAGTTATCAGATGTTATGGAAGTAAATTTAATTTCAGAAGTAGCCTAGCTACAGCAATTTGATTACTTAAATCATAAAGTGATTAACTGGTAGTAACTGGTTAAATTAATAATGAATATTCAAAAGTTGATTTGTGTTATTTTATTTATTTATTATTCTTTATTGCACTATTTAAAATAAATTTAACCAGTTACTACCAGTTAATCATTGGGTAAAAACAGAAGGTAGTTGAAGGGCAATAATTGGAAAGAGATACTTTTGGTATTTAGGTAAATGTGTCAATACTAATAATGTTCTTACTTAATCCTGGTGGACTCCCCATACTCATTTGCTTATCAACTTCTGTCTGCATCTGTTTGAGCTTCTCTGCTTCTTCCTCCATCTCTCTTACCCTAGCTTTGATAGCAGCCAAGTCTGGCACTTCAGCACCAGAAGCCTCATCACCACCCTAGTAATGTTATGATACTTAAGTTTATTTGGAGACATCAAATGCATTATGAACTTAGTGCTTTGTCCTTGGTTATAACTTAACAAATAAACGGTAATTGAGTATGGCCATTAGAATCTTAGAATTGGTTTCTATATTTTTTTATCAATATCAATTTGGATGAAATAAGAGTGGAAGAGTGAATGTATGTGAAAAAAAAGTCTACCATAGGTATAGACACCATCAAGAAAACATATATCAAAATGGAATTATCATCAAAATAATAATAAATCAAAATCTTTGATTAAACTCAAATACTACTGTTCTCATTAACTATACCTTTATAATTCCATGAAATCTCGACATATATTGATTATATAGACTAATAATCTATAAATATTTATAATTTTAGGAAAAAATTACGAATCACTGCCAATGTCTATTATGGTAATTATAAATACATAAAATATTATTCTTATGATTCAATGGTCTAATAAAGTAGAAAATACTTACTCCAAGGCTGTTGTCCGTCATATTAAGAGAACCGTTCGTACCCTCCAAGTGATTGTTATCAAGCGAATCTAAATAATCGTCATTTTCTGCCATGTCCACTTAATGAGGCGATCATCAATTCCAGCTCTTTGTCAGCAAGATCACTGGTATATGCTAAAGAAAGTTTTTTTCATTAATATCGGTTATAAACAAGAATACTAATAACGTTAAATATATAAAAATGCTCCAGCTACATAGCCCACTGACGTACCGGTAACCAAAACCTACAAAACAAATGTCCTACATAAAAAATACGATTGGTACTGTTCACTTTCAGACAGACAAATTCTTAGTATTGTATATTATTTTCATAATTATCTTAATATTTTGATGATATTTAAAGATTTGTTTTTGAAAATATAAAATACTAAGCCAAACAAATGTTTGACAAATAAACCACAGATTAAAAAGACTATGTCTATGAAAATAGAGGTTGACAGCACAGCACAACAGCACAGATTAAATCAGAAGAAGTATCATTCAACCTATTGTCAATCTTACTTCTTCAACATCTGTATATGTCATAACAATCCTTACCACAGAACGCACAGAGACCTACACGATTACGTTATCAATACTGAAATCAAATTCTGTCATAATAATAAATAGATATTATTTTAATTTTTCTAATGAGTCCTTTTAAATTTTAATTAGAATAACCAACATTGTGGTGTCTTGAACTAGTCTGTTGATATAATGTCTACAGTCGGTCCTGAATTTTTAAGTTATATCAAGAAACTCGAAGACAATGGCGATAAACTTACAACTGGAACTCCAATGGAACCTCATCTTGAATTCGAATTCAATGTATGTTTATTTGTTGTTTTAAACTATTAGATATATGAGTTTCAAAATTTAATTAAAACGCATAACTATTTTCTCTATGTTTCAGAATACTACATGCTATGTTTGCAATGGCTACTACGGTCCTAGTTTTGGAGAGCCAGTGTGTGTAACATGCCACTCATTTTTGTTTCCTGATTTTCCCTCCTATCTTCCAACTTCCTACTTCTGCAGTGAGAAAACTGATGATGGTGACTCTGGGAATGATGAACCATCGGATTTAAACTTTTGTTTGGATAGAAGAATGAATAGACCCTATCCTCTAATCACTTTGTGGAATTACAGAGTAAGTAAATTATTTTGTATTATAGGTCCCACAGGTGGTAAATAATAACCATATAATGTGTAAACACCCTTATTATCAACACATACAACATTTCTTTTAGGGCCTAAGAACCCTGAAGTGTTATGGCAGTTGATACAAAAGTTATATTAACTATCTTACCCTTCAGAAGAATCAGCAGATTGAATTTTTAATTATAAGGATGTATCCTTGTAGTTTTACTTTAGGATTTATGTCTAACATCTTAAACCTGATAACTATACAAATATTTATCATCTGTAAATTCTCATTATCATATTAATGAATGATAAATATCTTTAATCTATACATATAAATAAAATTGGAGTGTCTGCTTGTTCCGGCTAATCTCTGAAATGGCTGGACTGATTTTAATGGGACCTTTTTGGCAGGTAGCTAATCTAATAAGGAGTAACTTAGGCCACTTTTATTTTAGAAAAATAAAGTTAAAGTCCATGCGGAAATCGTGGAAACAGCTAGTATTTGATAAATTATCTGCAACAATAGTGTTTTTTCTTATATATGTAAACATTTTACAGAACTCATTAGATAGTGAAACAAGTCCAGAGGATGAGATAAGTCGAGCGAGTGGTCAAGGGGCCAGTGGCAGTGGTAGTGGAAGCAGCGGTTCAGCTAGTGGTAGTGGCAGCACTCGGCACATTGCACATGTAGGTGAAAGTCGTGCCGGACAGGGCCCTCCACCACAGCCACCTAGCTTGGCACGTTCATTACAAGCCTTGTCTACACCATGGCCACCTGACAACCTTGCTCCAGGCCTTGTAGAGCAGCTGCCATCTGAAGGTTTGAATAAATGGCATTATACATATAATAATAATTAGTAAAAATCACAGGATCTTACCACATTTTATTTTTATTGAGTTTGCGGTTTTAATATAAAATTTGGTAAAATCCCATTATTTATAATAATTATAGATATAAATAATAATTGTGGCAAATTTAAAACAGTATATAAAAATCATGTAGTTTTGGAAATTTACTAAATCAGTATTAAATACTTCAGTAGTTAATATATTAATTTTTATATTATGTAATTACATAATTTTAGGCAAATCTACTTTCAAATATATTGAAAATAGGGTTAGGGCAAAAACAGGGCTCAAGTTATTAAATACCACTGTGTATTTGTAAATTAAACATTATTATTATTAAATAGATAATTTTAGGCAATAGAGCATACCATTTTGTGTACAAATCATCAAATAATGACTAGATCAATTTATATAGTTTCAAACTGAACTGATTTAAAGTGCCAGAAAATGATTACATTGCCATTATGATGGATTGGTATAATCAGTTGAATATTATGTGGTGAGATATAATGGTTTATAAAGCATATAATCTAAATATATATAACTCAAAGGTGACTGATGTAGTGATCTATCAATGCACAGCCCAAACCACAGGTTGGATCGGGCTGAAATTTGGCCAAATTTCAGTTTTAAAATAAAATTTCAATTTTATTTTTTCCCCTTGCCTTTGATGCCTGCGTCATAACATAGATGTGAAAAAATAAGAGATGAAATGTTCTATGAAACTGTCAATTTTAAACCGATCGGGCTGAGACTTAGCATGCATAAAGATACTATCAATACTATCACGATAGGCATCACCTAAGAAAGGATTTTGTTAAATTCCACCCCTAAGGGGATAAATTAACGCGAGCAAAACCGCGGGCAAAAGCTAGTTAAACTTAACGGTCTTATTACAAAAAATCTGTTAAAACTCGGACGAAACGTGGTCTAAATGGTCGTGGTTTAAACCATTCCTAATGTTAATACTTGGAATAAACCTAACATTATTACGAATCCAGATCTAACAGAGGACTACTTAGTACTACAGTTAAATCGTTCATTATGTATTCCATACAGAAATCAGTCACTCATGTCTGTCACCGTACAATTACGTTCCATTTTACCAGAAAACTGAAAAGATCAAAAATAATATTAGTTCAAAGAAAAATGTATAAACTAAAAATAAATTTATTTCTATTTATCTAGGTCTTCATTATAACTATTTCATTAATATATAATGTTTATTAATGTACTATTAGGCTGAAAATCAGTTTTAAATTACAAGTAGGAGTCCTATACGGAGGAAAGGAATGGCGAGATATTTTTATTGGATCGTTCGAATGGTGACTATTTCAAAGTCAAATGAGTGAAAAAATAACAAATAACGTCTTTTATTTATTTTTATTGTGGTAAAATTTGCTTTAAATATTTTTAGTTAAAATATTTTTCCAAAAACTACAACTTACAATAGAATTTTTAAAATGGAGTTTGTATTTTTGCATTTAGACCACTGTTAAACTAGGGGCATCGCAGGTCTAACTTTAGACCATAGACGAATCACGATTTAGAGATAAACTTCATTTTGTAATAAGGAATACATTGGTGAATGGTTTATTAGTAGTGCTAAACCAGGTTTATCTTTTTGTAATAAGGCCGAATATGTTATTAAGGAAACTGAATTTCATATTGTTAGAAAAATAACTTATTGAAATTTCAATGTTACTTTTATTGTGTATTGTTTCAAATTGAAACTAACATATTTTTAGTCAGATATTTGTTATGTATGGAAACACCCAGACTGATACAAATATAAATCTATATAATCATATTCTTGAATACAAATATTTGTGCTATGCGAGGAATCAAACCCGCAACTATCAGATTAAAAGTGGTGTCTTATACTGCTAGACCACAGAGACCATCTATAATGTATTTACAATAATAATGTATCAAGCATTTATATCAGTCGTCTAATATTCATAACATAAGTCTGCTTAGTTTGGGACTAGATGGCTTTGTGTCCAAGGATATATACATCAGTCGTCTAGTACCCATAACACAAGCTCTACTTACCGCGGGACTAGATGGCGCTGTCAATTTTTATTAATCCAGGATTATTTATTTATACTGACATATTTCAGTGCTGCTGTGCATCTTCAGCTACTTGGACGACATGTCGCTGTGCGCGTGCGCGTGCGTGTGCTCGCGGTGGTGGCGGCTGGTGCGGGCGCGCGTGCCTCCGCCGCGCTGGGCGACCTTTGCGGCCACCCGCTGGCCGCTCTTCAGGCCGCTCGTTGCCAATATCGACTGGCACAAGGTACTTAGCCCTATTGAACATTATATTTCCTTATTGTTTACATTTTATTCCACAAAAAACATAAAGACTAGTGTTTACTAGAGATACCGGATGTAGATGTAGAGATACAGTATACACTGGCATCTATGCACAAACCAAATTAGAGGTTAAACGCGGAAAATAAAGGATAACATGCATTATACTAATATCGTAGTGAGGAACCATCTTCACCAATGAGCTAACTAACCTCATTTTTTCTTATGGATCATTCTATTATGAAGATGATAAAATGCGAGCGTGAGAGGTCTGTTAGCCCATGGTAAATTCACCATGAATTTATTACGATGGTTTCCAGGCGGAACCATTTGGAGGTTAACCTGACATGGTACATTGCTAGCAATAAGGTAAACAGTCCACATTACTAACAATCCCCTTTCCCCCTCCTTTATTTAACCTACCAAGATTAAACATGAAGTGAGATTAGTTAACCCATTGTAGCAAATTCACCAAGGTACTTTAAAGCAGCCTCAGGCTGACGTGATCTGTGATTAGCAGTAGGGTCTGTAATGTTTTATCTTTGTTATATAAGTATGTTTGTTTGTTTGTAATACTTTATTGTACAATAATAATATTATAAATAAAAGGACACAATTTTATGTATGTGTATCTCGTCTACGTCTACTATGTTATCAACTGTGCTAGTTTTGCAAGTTTTGTTCTGATTTGATGAGTGACATCATGAATAATGGCTGACGACTATTATGGGGGTACTATTTAATTTACCATACTGTTGATTCATTTGAACTTAAAAATAAATATTCAGTTGAATTTGAAAGTTGAAGTTGAATACCTATGCAACCAAGTCTTAACTACTAACACTAAACTTGTTTTTATTCTGTTAATCAGGGGCGTGAATTTGTGGGGCTCTGGGCTTAATCTACTTCGGGGCGTACCTAATAACTCACCTAAAAATATACACTGACCAAAAACAAGCTACTAGAAATTCCCCGTTCCGATAGACGCGCATTTGTATGTGTTGATTGATCTCAGGGTTGCCAACCTTATGATAGGTTTTAACATTCTACATATTTTTTATTTTCTAAATGTCGTTTCAATGGAGATCGGGTGCCCTTTGTGTCCTCGGGGCACTGGGCTGCAGGCCAAAAAGCTCCTAGATAGATTCGCCCATGCTGTTAATACTGATTGATAATACTTGGTAGCGTTAAAAACAATTAAAAAAACTGCTTAAATTAAAAACCCTTTCTATATAATAATTACATGTGTTGTTTTTCATGGATACACTAATTATAATGTTTCAGAAATACCAATCATTGGTGGAATCAAGTTTCTGTCGTAATTGTCTAGTACAAATGTGCGTGCAAGCTCAGCCCGACGGCGAAGAGAACGCATGGCGAAGGAATAGACTCCGAAATGAACTAAAGGTGAGTTTTAGAACTTCACTTAGAAGTAATATTGTAGCACGGTGATTGTACTCACCACTCACCACTGTAGCATTGTATAATTGTATGTGATGAGATGAGGTGTCGCTACATAATTTACTTTATTGTATTATTGTGTTGTGTCTTAGTTTATTATAGTATAGTATAGTCTAGGTAGTGAGTAGACCGGTGAAATGATTGTACTATACATTGTACATTAGTTAGTTTATTTGGTAGTGTACTACATGGCTTATAGTAACGCGTAATTCGACGCGGAGTCGCAGAGTAGACTGTTTTTATACTGAATTTAAATCTATCTTAGTGGAGACGTAAACTTATTGAAGGGTAAAAAATGTTGACAGAAATATTACAAGTTTAGGCACAATATTAACAACACCATCTAGCTTATATGCTTTAGATAATATCTTGATATGTACAAATTAAAAATAATGTAAATATAAGAATTTGTTGAAATTAAATACATTGGAGATTTCAGTAAACAATCTATTTTATACATATATTACTAGCTACCCGCTCCGGCCTACGTACGGATGTACGTGTATTATACATATAAACTTTACTCTTGAATCTCTATTTGTTGCTAAAGACTGCAATAAAAATCATTGCATAGTTTAAAATATTTAAGCGATCAGGCAGTGAAAGGGACCTCATTTTATGTTATGTAAAGATATATTATATTTTCTTGCAGTTTAGTTTGAAAAAGACACTTTATATACTTAATCATCTTTATTTGTCTCAAATAATAAAGTATTACAATTGTTGCTTACAATAAAAAATATTTAGTAAAATAAATTTATTCTTGCGACATTATAGATGTTAAGAAATGATCCACCTGAAGGCATAGCGGCGACACCACTGGACCCAAAATGCTGTCACTGGCAGGCCAGCGTTACGGGACCTGTGGGCTCGCCATACGAGGGCGGAGTTTTCTATTTATATATTCAAGTACCTTATTCGTAAGTGTGACTTATTTGCAGTGAATACTGTATATAATATATATACACATTTGTTATTTACGTAAAGCAGTAATTTGAAATAGGTACAAATAATAGAAGGTTACCTCAAATGTTAGGTTATGTACTGAATTTAAGAGATTTTGTTGTTGTATCATGTTATGTGAAATGTAAAGGGGTTGTGTAAAAATATGCAGTCTTCAAAATGGACGAAATCAAAGACAACCATGACTATGTATTTTTAATAATATTTATTTAACTTTAATGCAAAAGTAATACTACATATGACTATCTATGCTGTATTTTTTACCAGTCAAGCATAGGTAATAAAAGTAATAGATTAGACAACGAGTTGGTGGTACAACAATCAAATATTGATAATTCTTTTTCACTCTAAAGTGACTAGGCACTTCTATTTTTATATAACGGTTTATACACCGCCTTACTTCCGATGGTCGCGGGTTCGATTTCTTGCGGTACAAATATTTGCATTCATAAGTATCTTTGTTTGACCGGACATACATAAAATACATCCAAACTGTCTGCTTGTTTTCTTTGTATATTGTGTATGTATTAAAAAAAATGTCTATCTAATAATCTATGTATTTATATCAGTTGTTTAGTACACAAGCTCTGTTTAACTTGAGTCTAAAAGGCGCTATGTGAATTGTTCTAAGATATTATTATCATTATATTAATACATGAAACAAAAACATCGTACCCCGTTTCACGAAAATCGCTCGAATGGAGGAATATCAAATTTTGGCACACTAATATATATAATATTTTTTATGAGAAGATGTGCAATTATTTTTTTTAATTTATGCAATAAGAAAACATTACATACCATATTTCACGCATACAGTGTATATACAGGTACACTTTTGTTTATTGCCTGTACGACTGCCAGTGCTATAAAAGTATAATCTTTGATAATAGAACCTTAATAATGTTGAAACTTATAATTTAAATTAATTATGGTCGAATTTCATCCGCTGCGCGATGACTAATTTATTATCACACCCTCGAAGCTTTTGTGTGGCAATTAGCCTATACTAAATCAATCGGCGTTCTGCATTGCCGTGTACAAAGAAGTATGTATGAATGACTGGTCATCAGCACCCCCCTAGGCAGGTGAAGATTGGGGCCTAGAGGCGAAATCCTTTGCCCCGGCATCCACTCCGGGGGCAATAACGTCCAGGTGGCTGGATTTAAGCCTTTTAAGCGTCGGCATTCTGTCTGTACTAACCAGTACGTGATGTTTTGATGAACAGTTACCCAATGAGTCCACCGGTGGTGCGGTTCCTAACGCGCGTTTTGCATCCCAACGTATCCCGCCACGGCGACGTCGGCATTGACTCCGTTCACCACAATTGGTCGCTGGCGCTCACCGTTAGCAAAGTGCTCATATCAATTCAGAGTCTGCTCACCGACCCTTACACCGCTGTAAGTATGTTGACCTATGGGCGTAGCTAGTCATGGCTATGGCTAAGGGTGGGCCAATAGTCTAATATATTATGTAACTAGCAAACTATACGCAGTATTCACCCAATTATATTATTCATACAAAATGGTTACACCCTATAGCACACTGTATCCAAATATTCGAATGTTATTTTTTGTGTCGACTGTCGTGTATGAACTTTCTTACAGATATTAAGTATCGTAGTTAGTACTTAGATGATTTATTTTTTAGGTTTGGTTAGGTATCTTACAGGTACAGAGCCAGGGTTAGACAACCGCCCCACCTTGCCCCACTGTTGCTACGCCCGTGATATGTCTTGAAAGATTTCAAAAGATTTAAAGTTGCTACACATGTTGTCGCAAATAAAAATGCAACGGTACTGGACTTAGGCACAAATATATACACATGAGCGTTATACGATTTCATGTGTGCTTAAGAACCAGCTAGACTTTGAAATATGTTCAAATATCAAATAATCGTGCTCGACTTATAGTTATTTGCGTATCTGAAGCTATGCCTGGCAGCAAGTAAGTAATTACAATAAAATTATGTTTTCTTTTTATGATAAGATGATAGACTAAAACAAATTAGTCTGGAGCTCATAACTTTGAAAAAAAGTGACAAATTATGCAGTGTTTCCGGTATTTATTTTCTTCATAACGAAGTCATAATTACTAATTCATATAAGATAATTTTTTGAAAACTTGTAATGTATGATTACCCCGTAAATTGTATTTTAACAGGTGTGCATGGAACCGGAAGTGGGTGAGATGTACGTCCGCAACCGACCGCGGTTCGAAGCTCTTGCGCGGCAGTGGACGTGGCGTTACGCTATGCATGATATACTTCCATATTGAACAATCCCGTTGACCATATCCAAGTGCCAACTGGTTTAATGGAAGCTGAAACACAAACGCCCTGACTGGGAAGTGACGTGTAACTGACAGTTGCTATTTAATCCTTGTGAATTTTACACCCTCGTCATATATATATATATATATATATATATATATATATATATATATATATGGGAAGTAACTGTGATGATTATGAATATTTTAGTATGGAATAAAAGATAATTGCTAAAAATTCTATTGCAATTAAACATACAAGCTAGGTATTGTAAATTCTAAAGAAATTTTGTGTTGGTTATCTATATTTCCATGCATGAATTACTTTATATATTTTAGAGGGATTTAAGATACAACTATAGACAAAGGGTGTGACGTCATGGCAGATGAATTGAGAGAGCATCTATATAAACATTATGTTTCGTAACCACATAACACCATTTAAAAGTAAGCCGTGTCAGGGCGCCTGGCTGTGGTAAAATATTCTTGCACATCTCTCTTTATATGATAGATATTATACGTTACTATCATATAGTGTGGCAAACATCGCCATTCCATCAGTTAATTTGACACGCCGCATGAATCTATTACATACATCTTTTCATATAAAGAACGAGACATTATCATCAAGTTATATTTTAATTATAAATTAGAATAATAAAATTGTACACACAAATAAGTTGCGGAAATATGAATGTACGGTGATGTCTTAAAACCGTTAAAAAGGAATGGTTATTTATTATAAACCTGCGGTTTTATGTAGGCTGTGTAAAAATAAACTATATATTATTATACTCAGTTGTATAAGCTCAAAATAAAATAAAATGAAGTATATTTATGTGTTTTTAGTCTGATTATACTTGCAATACAATAAATTATGTATTTAGACCGACATTCTAGTAGAGCCTCTTTTTTATAAGATTTATATTTCATCATATGTGTTAACCCACATTTAAGAAAATAATCAGAAATTTCATTCTAATTACTACAAACAAATATATAATAACATTGTAATTTCACAGTTTATTCTATTTATGTGAAATTGCAAAATATATGAAGTCACTAGTGAGGAAGGGTACCTATACGTGTGTGTACCTATGTACACAACTACATGACGACTCTGAGTCTCATACGCGTGAATTCTCACCTGTGGTAATTACTAAGAAGAGTAATTCAAGTTACGAAATTGGTGTTATTTCATTTAATTTTTTTTAATAAAATAAATTTTATGATTTCACCACCCCGTCACACTGCGGTGTCTCTTTCCCACTCCGTAAATAATGTGTGACGTAGATTTAAAATAGCCCTTCACAACAAATTAATTTGAAGAAGGTTAAAATATCACATTAAATCTTTATTATATCTTACCATTTTTAATCTAATGTTTCTGAATATTTCTTTCCGCTTCTTTAATTCTTGTCCATGTTTGTAGTAGTTTATCACAGTTGCAGAGTATAGGCAAACATTCACTGCTTCCCGGCGCCCGACAGTATCCAGGATAAGGTGCTTCACCTTTCTGTAACCACTTTCTTGTGTTTTCTATTAAAACTGGATCTATTTCAGATTTTTCAATGAAATCGTTTTGGTTGTCGAGAATAAGTTTGTATTCAATTGTATGAATTTTTAAACTGCCAGGTATGTAGTAGTGTATATTATATATTATAATTGTTAGAAACCCCTACAACATAGTATTTTTTATTAACATTAAGTAATTTTTAGAGGCCTGTCTCAGGATAAACTGATGAACCGAAGCATTGAAATAAATATATATTCATTGTCTGAAATCAGAATAAGCTTTATAAAAATATTTTCTTTGACAGCAAATTGCATTTTTTTAGAATACCACCAGAGTAAATCTACTGTCGTCTATAGGCGTAAACCGTTGATGATGCATACCATTACCATTTATACTTCTTACCCTTCCGACCGAAACAAAGCAAAAATACAATCACTTCAGTGCAGAAAAGTAATTGTTGGTTCTTCCTAGAGCAAAGCAGTTATCTCGCCTACAAAGATTAATAATCAGAGGCAGTTTGACCTCCACGTGGGTCCTTAAACTATCGTAGTTAGTATTGGTAGTACTAATGAATTTGTCACAATGGGTAGACTAACCTGACTTCATCCTCATCGTATTTAGCTGGTATGTCAGATACCGTTAACACAGGCGGATACTCTGTCACCTTACTTGAATATTTACTATTTTCTTAATAAATGGATATATTCCCATATCTAGAATATGTACAAATCATAATAGTATCACAGTAATATCGTAAAATGTTTTCTATTATACGGCTATTTTGACTTTGCAATCGTACGAAAAGATAACGTATACCTACAATGTTTTATCTTAATTGTAAATATGTTATCATTTATTTTAGCGTAAGTTTTAAGTACACATAAAAAATAAGATTGCAAAACAAATAGGTCATATTTATTATCATTATATTTATCAACACAATAGTTTTTAATGCACTTTGTGTTTCCAACTTTTCTGGGCAGAAAGACAGAGGAAAGTAATAAGTAGTTCTATATAGTCTAAATGAGCTCTGAATACGCTGGAAAATAAAAGAAACAATTATGGTCACGTCATTTATTACTGAAAAAAAATTATAGAAATTTCATGGAACAGTTACTAAAAAAAATGCATGATAGCCATGCGCAGGCAAAGCACGTACTTAAACAATTTATGGGGAGTTAGAGATATCCATATTATCTGGTGAATTCTTTTCTTCCCCTATATCTGGAACTTTATTTTCAATTACAGAATTATCTTTTTCCTCTACAGTAGGGAGAGTAGGGCTTTTATCTCTGGTCTTCCGATCACTTGTTTTAGAGTCTTTATGGGATCGGCTTTTAGATCGACGGCTTCGTGAATGAGATCGCTTCCTGTCTCTCGAACGAGACCGTTTTCTATCTCGAGACCTCGATCTTTTTCTATCTCTGGATCTGGATCTCTTTCGGTCCCGCGAACGTGACCTCTTTCTGTCCCGTGACCTCGTCCTCTTGCGATCTCTAGAACGCGACCTCTTTCTATCACGAGATCTTGACCTTCTACGCGACCGCGAGCGTTTTCTACGCGATCGGGATCGCGATCTTCTAGAACGAGAACGATCACGCTTCTTTTCTCGTGATCGTGATCTCTCCCGTTTTTTCGATGGCGATCGTTCTTTCTCTTTTTCTACTTCCTTCTCTTTATCATCTGCTGGAGTGGAAGCTTTAGATTTTTCTTCGGAACCGTGTCCGTTAGTCTCAACAGTTTCGGGTTTGACTTGTTCCTTTTCTTCCTTTTCAACCTCCTTAGCAGGTGATTTAGACTTCTCTTTTTTCTCTTTATCATTTGTATCCTTTTTGTCTTTGCGATCACGATCTTTATCTCTTGAGCGGTCTCTCTTGGAACGTGTGCTGCGGTGGCGAGACTTAGAACGTGAGCGTCGGGAACTACGATGGCGAGAACGCGACCTAAAAAGCAATGTTTTTAATAAATAATTCATTATTTAAAGAAATAAGAAATTTTGAAAGATATGAGAAAACTAGCAGCTATTCGAGAAACTTATTGGATTATGAATTGTTTTAATTTTATTGTATGAATAAAAATGATTACCTGGTACGGTGTCTATGACGAGATCTCGACCTTCGAGATCGATGACGGGATCGTGATCTAGACCGCTTGCTACGGTGTCGCGAGCGTGATCGACGAGATCGAGACCGCGAGCGGCGACGCGACCGAGACCGCGATCGTGTCCTAAAGTATTAATAAAAGCTTTGATTATACATTTTATTTAAATGTAAAAGATACAATAAAAGAATAATCAGTAATCTGTTTACTATTCCACTTATTGGAGCATAAGTGGAATAGTAAACAGTATACTGATTCTTCTTTTATTGTATCTATTCATTGTACAAATTTATTTCTTAGCATTGTTTTTTATTTCCTTTTATGTTAAGTTTTATTTTATTATTATTATTATCACTGATTGGGTTAAGATATTAGTTTTCGACATTCCGGAAAATTAAATTCTATGTGGCAAAGAGTAAGCTTACTAAGGTTACAATGATTAATTTTAGGTTTGGTATCGCTTGTTCCTATTCCAGTATCAGTCAGATGTGTAAATTTAATTAGATTAGTTAGGTATATAAATATAATAAAACACAACCTTAGTTTTTGTTCACCAGATTTTAAATTACGACATTTGGGTGTGTATAACACAGATAATTCATTAGACATATATACTTTTATTATTGTCCACATTTAATTTATTCATTGGCACAGGATTATTGCAATGTGATTACTAACATGTAAATTTACATAATTAAAATTCCTAAAATAAATAAATAAGACTTGAACATGGTACTGGATATTAAAATATTATCAATTGCTTATCACATATATATTTGTACAATTTATACATACCTGCGTTTGTCTTTAGAAAGCAGGCCAATAACAGGATCGATGGCAGCGGATATAAGATTCTGAGCTTCCTTCACACGGCACATAGCTTCCTCTATCTCTCTCTGAGCTGCTTCATTGCTCTTCGTCTGTGGCTTAGATATTGCTTGAGTTGCATGGTGTACCTGCAAAACATCAATGAGATAAAATAACTATATATATGACTTTTGACTAATTGGTTAAACATATTGTTAATTGTTAAAATAGTATTTGTATTGTGTTAATTTTTATTTCCATAAATGTAATTTAAAGTATTCCTACAAAATGTAGTGGCGTTTTAATATGGCAATTGCCACTGAAAAGTAAAATAAAATAAAAAACTGAAAAAGTAACCTGAGCTCAAATTTATGATTCTGACACTATCTGGTAATGACACATCAAATTAGTCGAAGATTCTGATATTTAGGCTCCCTATATGCAACATTGAATTTATAATATACCAAGTGAAATATTAGCATATCAAGTATTGCATTCATCACAATATTGGCAGTTGATTACGTCTTTAATTGGTGGAAAGGATTATTAATAAGCTAGCAATTAATTCTCTTAGTTGACCTATGTATGGAGCCCCAGAAAGTAAAAGATTCCTGGTGAATTTGGTATGCTCACTTAACTGACACAACTTCATTCGATGCTATTATGCTTAACTTGTGGCCTGCCAGCATATACTGTCAGTACTAGTGAATGTATGATCTATTATCACTGGAGGAAAGGGATTCTTAGTAAAGTAGACTAATAACCCCATTGTTAGCAATGTACAATGTTAGGTTGACTTCCACATGGTTCCTAGAAACCTTAGTGATAAATTCCTGGTGAAATTACCCAGATTGGCTAACTGACCTGACCTCATACCCACCATATCATTCTTCACTAGTGCCCAACCAGTGTAAACAGCTATCATAGCCAGTTGCACCATTCCATTATCATCCATAAGATTACATTATCCCCTACTAATATATGTCTATATCAATGACAACTATATCTGGTTAACTAGTCTTGAGGTTATATTTTTTATTATAATATACTAAAAGTCTAACCTTAATAGTCTGGCCTTCCACAGTAGAACCATTTAACTGTAGGGCTTTTATGACACTTTCCTGCTCAGACATCTCAACCAATGCGTATTTGAGTTTGTCGGCATCTCGCTCACAGAAGCGCAAGTACTTTACTTCTCCAGCTTGGCAAAAGTGGTCTACCAAATGTTGATGAGTCAATTCACCCAATTCACCAACTAACAATGTTCGTCTAATTTCTTCAATTTTCCTAGAATCATAGGCCGCAGGGAGTGGCGGGTACGGTGGTAATCCTGCCGCTACTATTTTAGGATCATGAGTCTGAATAACTTGATTTGGCGGCACGCCTTCTAACGCGTTTATAACATGTGCCGGAAGACGCGGCTCCACGCTGCTTAGGCCGGGTACCAGGGTACCGTTGCTTGACATCTCTAAAGCCTTATGCTCATCTGGTATCTCCCCCGATTGCATTGGAATTACAATCAGCGCTCTATCTATGAATACGGTATTGGTCATATGTTGCGCAACGTTTACTGTTGCAGAATCGTAGTATTTTACATAGCATATACGCGATTGTACAGGACAAGACACGTCTCTAATGGTCGGATACAATCTGATGTCGTCAATTTTACCCAAATAACCAAAGAGGGTTTGCATCTGATCCTTCGTCGCTTGCGGTGCAATGTTGGTTACTTGTATCACTCTCGTATTTCCTGACACCATTTTTGAGAATTTACAGTGACAATACTAATATTTACTAATAAGAAATATATAATTAAGATTTAGGATTGCTAGTATCTACATTTTGTAAGAAGAAAAACATTTAAAACCCATAAAATTTAAAATTAAGATAGAACGCAAACACATTTAAACAGCACATGAGCACAGATCAGAAGTAACAGAACAGCGTAGAGCAACAGTTTGTTATGTCACAGTGACAGAGATGGCTTAAATCAAACAAGTAACAGTACAGATAATACATTAAAAACTATGTATACAAATGAATAGGAGGGTTTGGCAAATGCACCAACGTGCCAAGCCAGAAAAAAAAAAGAATAGGACAGTTTATATTATATTATTACATATATATTCATTCATCTTAAAGTTAAAGTTTTTATAACAGACAGAATTCTTATAGTTAAATCTCATACTTACTGAAATTGCTTTAAATTGCAAACTTACTTTAAAGCAGCTCAAGTTACCTCAATACAAATAAATAACGCAATAATAAACATTTAAATTGGAACTTTCCTTACCTTAATTCTTACATTTTAAGATAAAAAAGGGTAGACGCTAGAAGTTTTTGGATAATATTTCGCGCCTATATTTGAACGCAACATTAGATTTAACGGAATCACTATTTTTATTTATAAAAAGCCGTTTTAACTGTATTCTTACTTTAAAATGATTAAACACTGTAACATTAAAAATACATATACAGTTCTAGAGTATCTGTAGATTATAATTATCCTATTACTTGTGGGTACTTAAAGAAAACGTTTTTGATTACAGTTTAGTAAAATGTCAATAGCGGGGAACGATTCTTTAAAATTAAAATTGTTGGCTGGTAAGTTTTTACTTTGTAAGTACTTTTATTAATTAAAGAATTAATAAGAAAACAAAATTCGATATACTTTTTAATTTTAAAATTATACTAACGCAATTTAACATCTCAAACCTTAGTTCCATGGCATTAATTAATATAATTATTTATTATTTCAGTTTAATGCCACTATTTTATAAAATCATAATTACAATCATCAAATCAACTAATTTATTTTTGATATTTTCCATTTCTTATTAATACAGCTACTAGGCGAAATCTGTATAAACAAAAGGACGTATGTAAATTGCGCAATATGGAGCATTTGTTTTCTGAAGAAATAGACACAATAAGCAGGGACTTAAACTTCGTAAAACAACAACTAGAGGTAACCTAACCTCAATTATTTTACCCGCCACACTAAACAGCTTGTTTTATAACATATGTTTTTACTGAATACTTGCTAACCTGCGCTACTATTTTTGCTACATTTTTCATTAGTCCCGGATTTTAATTTTTTCCTAAAAAATGTTTTTCAGTCTTTGAAAAAATTTTCATTTTTTTCAAAGACTGATAAATGCCGTCCCCTAACACCGCCTCCCTTCCCGCTAACATTTTTACATTATATATAAACACAGAATGCATATGTCGAATTAGTATTATTGTCATTTTACTTGACTCAGTGGTCATGTTGTCAAGGTTGGTGTTTGAATTGGCCGCCCATGGCATGAGCACCGTGTTGCCCACACGGGGCCCGGGGACACGGACGGCGGCGGGCGGGGCCTGTCTATAGACAGCCCTGTTTTTCGTAACCTTGATAAATAGACTATCAACACTAAAGGAATTTTCACACTGGGTTCATTAGATTCAGACACGACGGCCTCGGTGGTCTGGCGGATTAGCACACCGCCTTAATTTTGATGGTCGTGGGTTCGATTCCTCGCACGGTATAAACTTTTGTATTCATTGTTTCTATCGGTCGATTATTATTATTATAGACTATATAGATATAAATTATATATATAGATATAGATTACACCTACAACCTCACTAAGTTTATCTCTTTTTAATATTAGTATAGATTATAAAATTAAGAATTAAAAAAATAATAGAATTATAATAATAGAAAAAATTAAGAATTTATTTAAACTAATACAAAATTATTTGAATAACATGTTGCCGTAAACATTAGTTTATAAAAAACTTATTTGCGCCCATCTCCAGAGCAATGTACAGGTACAATTGAAATAAAAAACAAATGATTACTTCTTAACAGCAAAAACACAATTTTTAGATAGACAATCTACATAAAAAATATTCAGAAATGCTTATAATTTATAAGTGTTTGGCGTGTGTGTGTGTGTGCGAGTATCGCCCGCGCGCTTTTTTTTTTTGCGTGCAGAACGTTGAATTTCAGTTTTAGACTATTAAATTTTCAATTTTTTCATTAATGATGCTTAATAGCCAATAAATTATTTTAGTTTTACAATCATGATGATTAAGGGATACTGCCTTTGTACACTCCATATATGAAAGCATGACGATCAGTCGTCCGTCGCGTAGTGTCACATGACGACAAGATGTTCGTTAGGCTACTTATCTACAATATATAGGTGACGATTATCACTGAACTTTCGGGTAGACTTTAAGCTGGTTGGTCTTTCAAGTTACATTAGAAAAATAAAAAGAAAAGATTTGCTGTTGCAGAAGTGGAGAAGTGGTGAAACTGTATGTGTGACCCGATCTGATGATTAAATGGAACATTGATTGTAATAAATTCAGGTCTCTAGATCGTTAAAAAAATATTTGTCCTTTCTAGATGGTGCTAATCAAAGTATCACAGTGTAACCATCAACTGAGCATGATCGACATTTGCATTACATCTGAAATGACAAAAATAACTGCACAAATGAATAACATTCGCAATTTAGTTCGCGGTTTTGATGAACTATTTGTTGAAGGTTTGTATAGTTTTAATAGTGATTAGCAAATGCTTGAAATATGTCCACAATTAATTTTTAAATTTCAATGTTATTAAGATTCTATAGTTAAAAATAATGCAGGTAATAAAAAAAAGTTTAAAACAATGCACACTAATAACTAATAACAAAAAACACTACGTGATCTGTTTTATTAATTTTATACAAAAACCTTATAGAACAATAATTTTTAGATAATAATATAATAATCATTATCGTGGAAGTAATAAAGAAGGATAATAAGACGAGCATGAAGTGTAACGAATCCTCATCTTATCATCCTTCCACAGCCCAGTTCCTATAGCGAACACCAGTAGCGTAGTTATCGCAGGGGATCCTTCAATCCATTATCACCTATGTAAAAACTTATCAAAATGCCTAATTTTAGTTAGTTGAAACGAAACTATCGGGCGCTATATTTCAGAGTGCAGAGTCCTAGAGAATTACCAACGAGAATTGAGAGAAAAGGAAGCTGCGGAACAGGAAGCAGAAAAACAGAAAGAAAAAGAAGCGGCCAAGAATAAGAAACAACGGGATAAAGATGTCGCAGCTATCGAACATGATTGCGAGGCTATAGAACAAGAATGCGTCGTTTTAAAAGTAATTATGCTAGTTAATATTTATAAGACTTAGCATATAGCAACAAAATACCTACCAATACGTTAAAGACCACATACCCATCGGTGGGTCGGGTGCCGAGTATCACCCGCCTGAAATTATTGTACACTAAACGACTATTTAAAAAATAATTTACGTAATTAACAATAAAAAAAATGAGATGTGAGAATTAAAAAGATAAAAGACAGTATGAATTTTATTATGTTAAGAATGTACGTTAATGAATGCAAAACTCACAAAATTATGAGTAAGGCAGGCCCAGTAGCAGATAACTTATGATTTGTGTAATAGTTCTCGTACGATTTGATAACATAGGTACAAAGCAATTATATCGTGACTAAGATGACGTAATCGTTACATTGGAAATTTTCTTAAAAAACAAAACGAAGGTTTCAGTTGATAAGTAGATAGTTATATATATATTCTCCATTCTATATTTATATATTCTCCATAATCGTACAGAAAAATCTATTACAAAATTTTATAAAATCTTTGCGTTACTTACATACCTATCATTAATAGTGCGGTAAAAAGTGCAATAACAGAAGATCATTTTCTTTATTCTTTTTGTTTTCCAGAAACGTAATAATGCTGTAATGCTGAAGTTAAAACGTAAATTGATTGAAACAGAAAATACCAGACGTGATTTGTTGAAGAAAAAACAGAATGAAAATCAACACTAACAAAATTATTTTTAATCGAAACTATACCACTAGCATCAGCAGCAACAAAAAACTTATATTTTTTGTCGTTATTTTCTAGCGTTTGTACTTTATTCCATAAATCGTTTGTTATGATATCTTGGTATGAGCATTAGCCTAAAAATGGCGTATAAATCTATTTTTTAATTTTTTTACGGTTTATGTAAAATATAAATAATAATATAAAAATACTTTGTAGTTTTGTATTTCCCTGACAGAAAATCATATAATATTTAGTGTATATCACAGAGATAATAGCCACCGACTTATAATAAAGTATCTTGTTACCTCATACATAAAAAAAGTAGTTGGTTAAATAGGAATAACCAGACACGTACCACTACATATTTAATTCATACATTTATTAAACATAGAAAACGTTAAAAATCTATAAAACATGCTAAAATAAATAAGTTAAGTATAAAATAACTAAGTCATATTCAAGGTACATAAGTCGATAATATCATAAGTGACGATGATATTATAACATTTGAATAAATAAAGAAGTAAGAAACAATTGACATTTTAACAATAGAAACGATAAATAAGTATCTTTAATTTATACAAACCGGCTTATTAAATATAAGTTAAAAAATATTACGGTGCTGCATGTATTGTTAATTGTCTAGTTGTAATAGCAATGCCACGCTTCTTTTGATCCAATGCGCAGAAGGTTTATCAGAAGGCAAAAAAAATGCCAACACAAAATTGGACGAGTGACCTGTAGTCGCCAGAACACCTTTTCTTTCCAATGTTTTGTAGAGGGGGCATTTATATCGGGTCCCCTCTTTAAATTCATTTTTCAATTTTGGATACAGCCAAAGTGCTGGCATATTGTCATTTAATATTTTGGGATATTGTTCTCCAATGGCAAATGTATCTCGATCCCAACGTCCACCATCCATGAATAAACCTTGTACATACACTCCCCATTCTGGAGGAGTAACTTCATAATCAACTTTACGGACCTCGAAATCAAATGTGAGTAAATCTATAGGTATTTTTTTTGATCTAGCAAAGTTTTGAACAGAACCGGTGAGAAAGGCTTGTGTGAAAAAGAAACCAGATAGCCAAAATGTTGGTGGTTTACCGTTTTGATACCAGTCTTCTAACATATTTAAGCGTTCAATAAAATCAGCAACATAACTTGTTAATGGTTTCAAACTAGGATAGGAAACTTTACGCCAATTATCCGGTATTTTTCCTAGGAGCATTGCATTTGACTGTAAATCTAAGGCAGGTGACATAACGATAAGTCCTTTTACCGCTTTTTGAAGATCTATAAGGGAATTATTTATTTCATTAAGCAATTTGTTAAATCTCTCCATTTCTTGAACTAGTACAGTATTCATTGATTCATTGTAATCAACTGGATATTTCTTTTGAGCAATTTCAACATCAAACTTTGTAGGTAACTTAGACAAAATTTCAGACGCCATTTGTACAAGAATAACTTCAGTATTTCCGCTCTCACCACCAGACCCAGTTCCTTCTACGAGAACCAAGGCGGCTGTGAGTGCCATTGAAATCGAATAATCACGAGTTATTCCGGCATTCATATGTAACCCAAATACTTCAGGTGGTGGATTAACAGGTACGGTTTCAATATGTTTGAGATAGTCTTGATATTCACACCGCCTCGATAACCCATATTGCGGTCCTAAATCACAAAATAAATAATTCGGGTCATTAACGACACCAGCATTAACGTAATTATCTAATATTGTAACTATTAATCTCCGATCCCAATCGTCAGTGACACGGCCACCATAATTGCATTCACCGGTTAAATATTTTATGGCCACGTATTGAATTTCTTCATACTGATTCAAAAACATTTGTAGTTGCATAACTGATATCTGAAAATCGGAATCATTAAAACCATATTGTATATTCCATCCTAGCGGGCCAAACTTCTTTCTTTCTTGCACAACAGCATGAAAGAAACTTATGCCATATAGTAATTTGCTAAAAGGTTTATCTTTATCACGGCATCCTTCAAAAAACTCAGGTTCCTTTAATGGTTCAGATATATATGATCGATTCAAATTGTGTTGAAGACCAGTGGGGGGTTCATTCGTCATCTTTACTCCAACCTGTAGTACAGATTGTGGAAATTTGTCAGACGGATAACTAGTTAACCACAGTCTGAAGCTGAGGTCAGTGTTTGTTAAATCAAAGCTTTCAATAATTTTTTCAAGAACAGGAAGCCAAGAAACAGCTAAATGACAATTTTGCAGACATACCCATCCACCCTCTAGTTGTGCTTTTTCTATCATGGATCTAGCTATAGGTCCTTGTCCTTGACCCAACGATATTGAATTGAATCTATGTGAATAGCCCATTCTTTCACAATATTTAATCAGTGCTCCCATAGGATCTGAACCCGGTGACAAAATGAATATCAAAGGTGCAAGACAATTTGAATCCCCAAATGATTTACTGATATCAAATGGAGGAGGTGTAATATATTTTTTGCCCATTTGCTTTTCTACAAAATCAGATAAAGCAGAAGTTAATTTGTCAGGTCTTAATATTCTAATTACCAATAATTTTTGAAAAACAGTTAGTTTATCATTCCATCCAGCAGGTAATGCTTTGTTATGAGGTTCTAAGTCATCGTATACTTCCTTCCATTTATTAATGTTACTAATAAATTGATCTTTAAAACCTGTAAAAGCAGGTAAATCGCTTATGCGACATATTTCATCCCAACTTTTATCTGGTAACCAATCAAATGGTTTCTTTAACAGATTTTCTACAGCTATACCACCAGTTATAAGAAACAAATATTCATCTCGATTCATTTCTTCTGTCGACAGCATCATTTTTGAACACATAATAAAGGAAAACATTAATTTATCCTTGTCAAAAAGCGATCGACAAACATTACTATACAAATTATATGTAAAGGTATCTTTTAAAAATTTTAATCTCTTATCTAGATCTTTGGATTTATTGGCATTTTCAATGGATATGACATATAAATTAATAAACCAAGTTAATGAATACTGATACATAGGATCTACATTAGGCAATTCAGTCACACAATAATAGAGAACTGCAGAATGAGAAGCAATTGGTCGATAACCAAGTCTAAATTTCTCTATTATAGTCTCCGTTTCTACACTCGCTTCTTGTTTTTTCATTATATCTATTGCGAGTAATTTAGAAGAGTCTAAAACTTCTATTGCTGTTTCATCCTCGAGAATGTCACCTTTTGATTCCTGCAAAGTACGTAAAATGTCATCCTCAACTTGCTTTAGAGCTGCACGATTAGCTGCTCCTTGAACAATCAATTTTTCTCTCTTCTCTTGTAAATCTGGTCTTTCTTTAGCTACAACTATACCTAACAACTGATCTTCTAAACCATCTTTAGTCAAAGCAAAGTTTATGAGGGTTACTTTATTGAATACTTCTGGTAAATAATGAGGATTTCTTAACTTAGTAGTCATGTAAAGTCTAAAATTTGGATGATATTCAATGACATTTTCACCCAAAGCTATAAATTCTTTACCGCCCTGAACATAAGTATGTTTCAGTAAAACTGGATCCAAAGGTGCTTCAACATCTTCTAAGATACAATCTATCAATGCTGGCTTACCATACTCCAAACATGTTTCAATTACTTTCATGTAGTTTCCATCTGTAAACTTAAGTACTTGTAAATCATTAGATTTTTCCATAGTTTTAATCCATTTATTTGCTTGCCCCTGTGGATCAACTAACAGTGACCATCGCATCGAGTTATCTTGTATTATTCCATTATCAATAGAAAAAGAATCACGAGGCAATCCCGCTATACACCAATTTTGAATCTTTATATCAGATCCTAAGATATCTTTAAATAAAAACACCTCGGAATGTGGCATGTCCAATTTAATAACAAGTGCACGCCACTTATCAATAATTTCCATTCTAACTGGTAATGTGTATGGGGCTAAATACGCAATTATACCACAGGATACTAATATGTCTCCAGCCAAATTATCATACAGTAATTGCAAATTTTCAGCAGCTGCGGTCCAACGAACTTTTTCACCCCCTAAACCACCGATAAGTTTTTCCGCTCTGTATAATTTGTCTATACATAATTGTACCTCGTCTTCTAAAGCTTTCTTTTTAATATTAGCTTCTTCTAAAGCTTCATTTAATTCAGCCAATCTAGCTTCTAATCGCGCTACAGTTGCTTTTTTTTCTTCTAGTATTGCCATAGTTTCAGCAAATTCTTTTTCTGCAGCTTCCAGTTTAGCTTTCTTTGGAGCTACCACTTTGGCAACTGCATCGTACATGTCCATAGCTATTATCCATTTACACAAACCTTCAGCTGCTGCTGATGCTTTAGCAATGATATGTGGTTTAAAATCTTTATTCGACAAATATTCTTTTCTTATCTTTTGCATTGTAGCTATAGGTATGTTATCTTTATCGAAATTTCGTAAGGAATCTAAGAATCCCATGTCACCCAAAATTCTTTTACTTGGTCCCCAGAAATCGAACATCTTTTTGCCTGGATTATCTGGATCGGGTATTTTATCTGGAGGGATTCCTTTCATCACACATACAGCAGCCATAACTAATTTAACGGTAGCAGGTGGATTTTTCATGGATTTTACAATAGTTATATCACCAGGTTTTAGTGTATTTAAAGCTGCTATGGCATCTTCTAAAATAGGCAGTGCAAGCGCTAAATCAGCTTCGCAGTCTTTTTTCAATTCTTGTGCTGCAGCTGCTTGTACATTTGCAACTTTTTGATCTTCTCTTACTTGAGCAGCAGCTTTATCGGCTGTAACTGTTTCTACTTCTATTTCTTCCATCATTTTTGCAGATTTAGCAGCCATAATAATTAGTTGTGGTTTTAATGCATTAAGATCACGCTGCATTATTGACACAGCTTCTGCAGCTTGACTTAGTTTATCTAAACCATTTGTATATCGTAATTTTGCTGCTCTTAATTCTCTTTGCCTTCTGTTTGTCAATGTAGTGAATGACTTTATTAAATCAAGATATGAAGCTGATGTTATGTAAGTCTTTCTTCCAAGTTTACTATAAAAGTCAGCAGAAACAATGCGAGCATCAACATGAAATTGTTTACAAGCTACAACAGCCGATAATTTTACTGTATCCGGTACATTCACCTTAACCATGAAGTGATGAGCTACCATTTCTAATGCATCTTCAGGCCAACTATCATACCAGTCAATTGTACAACAATTCACTAAAGATGGATAAAGTCTTAATCTTGTTCTAAAAGAACTTCCAATAGGACTAAAACATAATACAACATGTAACTTGGCTTTACATCGTCCTACGAAAAAAGACAAAATTTGAAGTGGACTTATATCTAAATTTCTATTTCCGCCTTGAGCAGCTAATCGAACTAATTCTAAAATTTCTTGCTTTTCATCTAGACCGTATAAATTTGGCACCTCCCCAGAATTTAAGAGGCTGTCTAAGTTCTGAATGAATATTTCTTCTTTAATTTGGCTTTCAGTAAACAAAAATGTAGTATCTTTATTTAAGCCCCCAGATTCACGAAGAATTAATTTTATGTCATCATGCCAATCTTTAACACTGTAAGACTTAGTTATTTCTGGTTGAAAAACTTGCTGTCCTAAAATTGTACTGGCTAATCGTGTAAGTGACTGACGCCCAGATCCACCGACTCCCACTAACAATGCATTTCCCGAGGGCATTGATAGTAAACGGCATATTTTAGATAAATGTTCCAAAGCGTAATCGAATAAAACTATCGTCATTTTTGCTTTATGCATAGAGTTGTATTCAGCTAACATTGATATCGCTACGTTTAAAAATAACTCTTTAGAAGGCAATTCATCATAACGTCGTTCTCCTTCTAAACTTTCAGTATCTAAGTAACAACCGAACATCATTTTTTTTATACTGTCTTGTGTAACTTCGCCACTATCCTCTTGATAGGTATCTAGAGCCGACTCAAAAGTGTCTTTCATGAACTCACGAGTAGACTTTTTGAGAATTCCAAAAAACCAGGTACGATCTACCTTATCGACCAATCTGTCATAAAATACCCGCATGATTTCATGAACCCAAACCCTTGTAAAAGTTTTTTTGCTATCGGCTGATTCTTTTCTCAATAAAGCGCAACCTTGTATAACTCTCGAAAAATCTCTTAAATTAAATATGTAATGTGATTTAGCAGGTGTTGGTCTTAGGCCTTCTGTTGCTTGATCATATATTTCCATTGTTGCCGATATAATGTTTACTATTATGGGTTGCGTATCTTGACCAAATCCATTTCTTCTCCAACCTAGTTGTAATAAAGAGGTAAATATTTTAGTCATACTTTCCTTTGAAAATTCATTTATTGAATAAATATTATAATGTCGTAACATTCTGGGATATATTAGTTGTCGACTACCGCCCACAGGTCCTATAGCACCGTAAAAAAATGTATCGTATATATATAATTTTTCTGTTGTTTTAAGATCATACCAATGTTTTTGGTCAAAATATAGCCTTAGTAATTCAATAGCTGGTTGCGCACCATATACTTCTTTAACCGGCATATTCATATCATCAATAAAAATTATGGCTTGTTTTCCTTTGGTAGGACCATAGTTATTTTTTCGTCTCTTGACTAGTTTTGAAATAACTAAATCTTGTGTTTGATTAGCAGATGTTGTTGTTGTAAATGTTATAAATCCGGGAGTATATTTATCCATATCAAGACAATTCATTAAGAAATTCTGAACATAAAAGCTTTTACCAGTTCCAGTAGGTCCAATAAGTAAGAGAGGTTTAGAGAATTTTGTGTGTAGTCTCAAAAGGAATATGTATTTCTCAGTTTCTAAGGTAGGTATTACAGTTTGCAGGAGATTGATTTGTTCTTTTGCTTGGACTGCTTTTACAGCTTCCGGCCAAGGTTTCCAGCATCCTTTCCCTTTATACATATAGTAATGATCAATTAACATACCTTCGGAAGGTATTGACACATCTAAGCGATCTAATTTATCGGGTATTCCTTTCTCACCTCTAAAATATTCTTTCACTAAATCGTCAAACTTTTCTCGGGATTCAGTATTTAGTATTCCTCCAACTCCCCAGACCATTGCAGTCATAAATGATGCCAAAAACCATGTCCTTGTGTACTTGGTATCTTCTTCGCCTTCTATGGCATTATCCATTAACATTTCAATTAGTCGAAGAGAGCTAATCACTAAATTGACTTCTCCGCCTGTTACTAGTTGTCCACAATATTTTCTAACATAATACACTAAAGGATCAAATAACCATTCACACATGTCAAAAATAAATTCTTCATTTTCTTCCAACCATATTGGATTGAGAGTGTTAATCCACGATTTATAAAATGGCATAAAGCCAAGTGAGGAGGACTCCATATATATCATACCGCATCTTGATACCGTTGCTGGAGATGCTTGAGAAAGATCCATAACTTCAAATATCATTGACATAACATTAGACATAGCCATTACCTCTCCTGATGTTAGACAGAGCTTTTTATTATCGTCTAAAACTGTGTTCATGTTTTCAATCCACACAGCATCAACAGGGCCATCAAAAACAATCCATTTTCTAACAGGAGTATCTTCAGAAGCGAAATCTCTAAACATTGTAGCAACAATTCCATCTGTCCATTCATAAGAAATAGGATCAAAGGCACCATAGAGCTGACCCATTGTAACAGCTTTGGGGTTTAAAACTTTATAAGTGCTAGTACATCCACCAGGTTGTTTTCTTTCTTCCATCAGAGTCAGCGCTTCTGATAATACTTTTAATGTTACAGATTTACCAGCAAATGGATCACCAACTAACATAAACCCGTGTCGAACAATCATCATTTCATACGTTTGAATAATTTTAATTAAAAAGCATTCCATTGGTTGAAGATTATTTCTTTTACAACAGTCATGACAAGCATTTAAAAAGTTTACATAATCTGGTTTTGGTAAGCTGATTCCAGGAAACAAATCTGATATAATACCCTCAAATAAAGGCACATCAAACGATAAAAATTTGGGTAGATTAACGTCAGTAATTGATCTAAGTAAAAGTATGCTTTCGCTTTCATTAGGAAAGTTTCTTTTTAAGTTACCCGCAGCAGACAGAACTGTTTTAACTGCTCGCATACCGTAATCATAATGATTTTGTGATGACAGCTGTTCAGAACAAAGACGATATGTAGTTACTATTTTAATAGATAAATTTCGGGCATCAATGAAACCAAACGAATACAATGATATTTCTCCTATCATAGCATAGTCTGGAACCATCATTGCAACCGTACGAAACAATACTTTAAGATTATCTGGTAATTCTGAACGTCCAGCGTAACCTGGATTCATTGTAATACAAACGTAACAAGCAGGATTCAAAGTTAAAATTGTGCCTTCAAAGTCAAATGTTTCTAAATGTTGCCTTACTGCTTGTACAATGCATAGAATTTGTTGTGCTATGACAGACAATACTTCGACTTCGATTCGATTGAATTCGTCGAAACAAACCCACGCGCCACACGATGCTAAGCCTTTAAAAAACTTACCCATGGCCTTGTAATCTAATCCATCAGAACAATTGAAAACTACACATTGTACAGCGAGAGCTTTGGCCAAGTCCTTCGTAGTTTCAGTTTTACCGGTTCCAGCGGGGCCTTCAGGAGCGCCATTTAAGTGTAGATAATAAGCACCTATTAGAGTGCGATAGCAACGGTCTGTTAAAGGAGTTATGACCAAGCGATCAGAATTACCTAAATATTCATAAGCATAATCGACAGTAGCATTAATAATTTTAACGAATACTCTTTCTTGTTCCCAATAATATCGTAACTGTGCAAGCCATTGAAAATCTGTAACTTCAGTGACATTCTTCCCTACTAGTTCAAATATTACATCCTTTGCGTGTACATCAATAACAATAAGAGCTTTGACAGTAATACTACTAAGTTTAGTCAAATCTGTGCGTCGAATAACTGCAACAGTTTCATTTAGTTGTTTAGTTAAATGTACGTGAAAAGCTTGAAGTTCGCTTAGTTTATGAGTACTTAGGGCTTCATGAACATCCATAGCCCAATAGATTTGAGATACTCCCAAAACCACCATGCCTTCCCAAGACAGTATCCATTCTACACGACCCATATTCGGATAATCGTAATATGACAATTCCGTTTCTGATTTCACTGCTGCAAGCATTTGTTCTTCTACTTGAACAAGCCATTTTTCTACAGAACCTCGAGCAGCGGCTACATTTATAATATCTAAAAATTCTACTTGTTCACCTTCCATTGATATCATTGCAGATATATTAAATTCTTCATCAAATACTAGTCTATTAATTCCCTCGAAACATTTTTTCAAATGTGGTTGTACTTTAAGTGGATTTTTAGTTTCGGATAAGATTTCCAACATTTCGTCATTTGACAAAAAGAAAAATCTAGGAAAATACAATCGCTTTTTTTCTAAATAATTATTGACACCATCATTGATTTTTTCTAAAAATGCAGATGCAGCTTTGAATGACTCCAAAACTCCAGTTCCACCAGCTATTTCTAGCACATGGGGATCTTTATCAACTGAACCCATATATCGACGGTAAATATTATTGACTTCTACAAACATCACTCCTTCTTCCGGCATCTGTGCAACTATATCTTTTGAAGAAAATATAGGCAATAAGTACAACCACTGACTTTGAACTTTTCCCCATTCATCAATAGTGCCGTTCACCCTCATAATTTTGTCATACCAGGCTCTTACTTGAACTTCAAATGGTTTAACAAAAGCAGAGCCACGCATACCAACTGTTTTAACAATATGGTCATCTAGAACACTTTGAATATCATCAAGTCCCGACAATATAAATATTCCAGTGTCTTTATAAGGGCTTGTTTTAAAACATATGTCTGTCCATTCGGCCATCATTTTATTCAAATTAGTTATTAGTGCTAACTCTTTGGTTGCAGCCACACTTATTATTTCGTACTGATCAATATCATCCCATAGATTGAAATTTATAATTTTACGTAATGAAGTTCCAGCTGTAGGTGTAAGATCGAACCCTGCGATTGTTGACATTTCATCCCAATGGCGTTGTACTAATGCTGGATTGCACATTATGTGAGCCATTTGAACATTTGGTCTCCAGCTCTTAATTTCCGCAATAGCTTGTGCACAAAGTTTCATAGGGGCAGGAAGATTATTAACATCAGGATCATCAACAAGACCCTGAAATCGTTTTTCGACGCCTTCAGCTATTTGTTGCTTAATTTTGTTTTTATAATTCTTCGATAATTTCAAAAATTCTTTGTAATAAAAGTCGTGATCTTGTTCAATTTGATCATGATCCATGTACTCGAATGGTCCATCCATCCATGTGTAGTAACTTCGTTTCCACCTATGAACTAAGTAAATAAGACTATGGAATGGTAAAATGAAATCTTTTAACTCTTCCAAATCAGTATAATTTGTTAGTGGAAATTTAAAAGTAGCTTCTTCATTATTTATCCATGCCACAAGTTTATTACAGTCATCTAAACGATGTACAAGTTTTCTCAGATATTCTAAATATTCAAGAGTATGATCGATATCATCCATATGGTCTAGAAGTTCCAAGTACGGTGTAATTTCCAAAACTTCCTTATTGAGGTATGTAATTTTTGCAAGAAGATTTTCTTCCATTTCTGCTTTAAATGTTTCATATGCAGCAGCATTTTTTTCAAATATAGGTTTGATATCTGTTAACCAATTCACCGTTCGCGTATTAGATGCTACGTGTTCAGAACTCAATGATGTCATTTCTAATAGATTAGAGATTATATTGATTTGAGATAAAATTCTTTCTTTTAAAGCTTCTACTAAAACTGTTTTGGCGTATAAAATATATACACCTTGTTCTATCAATTCAGCTGCATTTTCTGGTTCCTTTAGAGCTTTTACCGCTATTTCTTCAAACGCCGAACAAATGCTGGTATTTTCTTCCATATGTCCATTAACTATGCCTATTATTATGTCATTGACGAATTCTAAAGTTTTACTTTTCAAGCCATCAACCATTCTCAGCTGACAAACAACTGCACAATTAAAATATTCATTTTCCAAAACTGCAGTTATATCCGAATATATAGATTGAAAGTATTTTATTTTGTCTCGGCCTCTGTCAAATTCTGGAGTATCATTTATGAATCTTATCAGAGCAGCTTTTGCTGGAGCTCCGTATAGCATGTTGTATTCATTCCTTAATCGTTCTAAATATTGAATAAGCGGTGTGAATACCGCGTCTAACCGTTTTTGTAACCTTTCATGACCGTCTTTGTATAACCACTCATTATACAGCACTGGTAATGCATCGTAGTTGTATGGTATCTTCAAATATTGTTCTATAGGCATAAGCCTTTGGGAAATATTTGATATTGCATCTGCAATGCCATGATAAACACTGTATACAGTCTCAAGCGACGGATCATATACAAATTCTCCGTTAAAATCTAAAGCAATATTTAAAATGGGTATTGAATCAGCATCATAGAGTGACTCTATGATAGCGTCTATAGATCTACGCATTAGCTCCTGTATCTGGATTGAGATCATTTTGGTAGCACATTTTACGAAACCTGGTATTCTTTTTGGGCGCATACCTCTTAGACATCTTGGATTTTTTAACCATTGAACAAGTACCGAATACCAAGTACTCGATACTAAATAGTCAGCACGTTTAATCATATCCATTACATTATTTTGAAATTCTTCTAAATTCATAGGGCCTTTGACCCGGTATTTTGCTAAATCAATTATGGCAGTAGGAAACATCCTTCCGGATGATTCAAGAATCAGTCGAATGAAAGGATGTAATAAAAGAGAGCCATCCTGAAGTTTCTTTCGATATTTGACCATCTTGTCATGAAGTTCGGTGACACCTTTAAATTTGAAATAAGGCTCTTCATAACGTTTGCGAGGAACGCCAGGTACTTCGCGAATGACGGTTTTAACAGCGAGATCATGAATGTTACGATTCCACTCGTTTTTGCTCTCTTCAATTAATTCTTCCATCATAGAAGGAAATGTCTGACGTAGTTTTGAAGGTATCAAACTACATATTTTCCTTTCCCATGACTTCAGCATTGGCGGCGGGCGTATCTTCTCTGCACATTCACGCAACACATCTATATGCCGTGATTGTGCTATCTCAATAAGATCCCGTTCACGACGTTGTAATGGAGGACAGGCAATCTCCACCTTTCTTTTGCTTGCCTTTTCTTCAAGAACTTTACGAAATTTTGCCTGCTTGTCCTGAAACATTTATTATTTCTAGATAATACAATCCTGCCTCCAACCTCATGTGAACACAATACATTAATATACCATATAAACATAACACTATAAGCATTTTTACATTGTACTAATATCATAAACGCGAAACTTTGTGAGTATCGATGGATGTTTGTTACTCTCTCCGCAAAAACTACTGGATTTTGATGAAACTTTACAATAACATAGCTTATACATCAGACTAACACATAGGCAATAAATTTTACGTAGGTGGAACCGTGGGCCGTAGGTAACGTTAATTCTATATATTATACTTACAATTATCTAGATGATACTGTGTGAATTGTCCTGAGATTATTATTATTATTATTACATAATCAAATTACTAAGTTTATTTATTATGAGTTTCATATATTTACTGATTTTTAATAAAAACAATAACAACCCCGGACTATTCAAACGCATCTGCTCAGCAGAGCTTGTGTTATCAGTACTAGACAACTGACAGATACAGTTCAAAACATTGCAGACACAAACATTTGTACTCATGAATACAAATGTTTGTACTAAGCGAGGAATCGAACCCGCGACTATCGGATATAAAGCGATGTGCTAAATCGCTAGACCACCGAGGCCGTATTAATTCTCCATAGAATCTTTCATCAACTATTTCAACTTCAACAATATATTTTTTTTAAATAAATTTTTATAATGGTTCATGAATTTTTATAATGATGATATAGTTTGCCTTCATGTAAAATTGCATTAAGATCCATTCAGGAATTATATCATGAATCAGTATATATATCAATATCAGATGCAATGACATTTTTATATTGCCCGTTACCCGCGACTTCGTCTGCTTTTTTTCGAAAACACAAGGCACATAGTCAGACAGATTTGCTTATAATATTAGTATGAAAGTATAGAAAATAATAACATTAATAGATGATTATTCATTTTGTTTATTTTACCTTAATTCTATTGTATGGTGGCAGTGGCACGAAGGGCAGTTTATCCATATTGTGAATATCCGGAATAGGCCGCATGGCGGGTACCCGACAACCATTCTTTGTTTGCAAAAGTTTTCTCAACTCACTTTCATTCATTTTTAAAAGATGATGATTATTAATGAAAATAAAACATCAATAAATAATGCATTCTAACTGTAAGAATACACAACCAAATTCCTATTAGGTATATTGACAAACTCAATAACATGTCCATGGCAACGTTATTATTGGAATTATCTGAATATAAGGTGTTATTACATTATCAAATGCACCGGAATAGGTAATAACCCGGTTAATTTTGGAACCATAAATAAGAATAAAAGGAACATTGGTTAAACTAAATTATTTCTAAGGTAATTGTTAAGTAATGAATTTATCTACCTAAAGGACAACTATAATTTCATAATATATAACTTATTTCAATTGTATTCTTAGATTTATTGATATTGATAAAGTAATAAACCTAAGCAATAACTTTGTATAACATACCTGCTCTACTTATGGGCACTGTTCATCACATTACGCCTCTTACGACGGTCGACATTTACATTATTCTCGATAGAAACCATAGTGTCTAATTCCTGGTGAATTAGACGTAATGGACAAACATATATATTATGTAATAATATACATGGACAATTCATATAGCGCCATCTAGTCCCAATCTATACAGAGCTTGTATTATGAGAACTAGACAACTGATCTGACAATCTATGTATTAAACACATTAATACATAGATATCTTTTTGGAAATACATACATAATATACATAGAAAACACTCAGACACAAACAATCATACTCCTCAATACAAACAAATGTTTGTACCGTGCGAGAAATTGAACCCGCAACCATCAAAAGTAAATCGGTGTGCTAAACCCAAGTCATCGAGTTCGTCATACATGAAATATTATTATTATTACACCACAATTGTATACCGTACATAAGCAATGAAATAAAAAAGATACCATAAAAAAACGCTGATGGTCTTGATACGCCTGCACATTACGATACGTCCAAAATATTACAAATCAGCAGGTCTACCTTGGAACTTAATATCTATCGATTTCAATCAATCCAATCCAATTTTATAGTATTCCTTGAAAATAATAAAGATTAGGTAAATATTAATCTATACATATAAATAAAATTGGAGTGTCTGTTTGTAATATTCAAATAACCGTTTTTTACTACATGCATACGAATATAAAGACGGTACATACATCAAAATAACATTTTTTTACAATTTTTGTCTGTCTGTTTGTTCCGGCTAATCTCTGAAATGCTTGGACTGATTTTGAAGGGACTTTTTTTGGCAAGTAGCTGATGTTATAAGGAGTAACTTAGGCTACTTTTATTTTAGAAAAATAAAGTTCCATTCCACGCAGACGAAGTCGCGGGAACAGCTAGTCAATAATAATGATAGTTAGTTCTTGTTCACGATGTCTTTATAGTGTCAAGAGTGTCAAAAGATACGAAACAGTACAATCCAATATAATTAAATAAGAATTGGTTTCCAGAAGGAATTGGCCCCGTCCTGCCAATTCACAATTATGTTATCACAAGTACATCTGGATAAATTATAAAATTTTGGTAAATTAAACAAAAACATTCAACGTTTAGTGAATTATATTCGCATAAACAATAAATAGATGCCCAAACATAGGTAAGTATATACAATTTAAAATTTACAAAACCTGTCCTTAACTTTTTATATTTACATTCCATCACATAATAATCAATGAATATATATTCATTACTAAATGGTACGCCCATATCACAAAAATAAATTTTGTGTTTAAATTTATAAACAATGTCAATTAATCATCCCATCATCAAAGTAATGTTTTCAAATATCGATGCAATATATAAAGGCCTTCGTTGACAAGTTACACATAATCTATATAGAAAGATTAACTTTCTTGCGCATAAAAACTACAAACCCACTTTAACTATTACAATCTTTCTAAATAAGAAAATAACTCGAGAAAAAACCATGAAACTGTTGTATAGAAAAAATTGGTTTATTGGTTCCTTTTTTTATGCATAATGGTGTTTATCCTTCGGTGAATCAACCACAGTTTAGAGAAGTAAGTTACTTATGTGTTCTGTGGAAAAAACGATTTTCCAGTTCAGTTTCATTTGCCTAACTAAATACCACTTTAATATATTAATTACATTGGAGACTTCTTTACAATATATGATTTTTATTTATATGACTGGAATGACAACAAGTGGTTGGCCTATTCTATGGTATGTTGTTATATAATTAAATTGACTGCAGGGTTCTTGTCTACAAGTAACTAAACCCACTCTACTAATGTTAAGCATTCACAAGAAGAGTGACTTCACATTTAAAAGTAATTTGGATTATTCTGAGTTTTTGACACAAAAAGCAAATTAATTTAAAATGAGTACTGCGGTAAGCCTCGTTAAGCGTCTGTTGTTAGCCAGACATTGTAATTTTGCCCAAATTTCTATTTGGATAACTATTTATTGGAAGACTTTCGCAAATAAATCGCAAAGGCTATGGCAACATCACTTGTAATAAGGATTTGATTAAAGTTTTAGATCGCTTAACATTCTATTCAATAGTAGTTACATACTTCTCAATAATTATGTTTAGTTTTAATTTATGATGCGTTATTTTGTCGATATTGACCGAAATTTTATTAAATCATTTCAATTAAATAATATTGGAAGGTTGTATACTTGTTTACATTCTAGACTGATCAGTCTTTATTCGATGTCACAATAAGGTTTTAAAATCATAATACATGGCACTACTATGAGAATCTAAGTACTTACACCGTTTAGGAACGTTTACAATAATTCTATTTTTAAAATGAAACATATAAAAATATATCATTACATTTTTTTAAACATGAATAGCTTTGTACAATAATCGTTATTGTAATAATCAAAATGCATTATCAATTCCTGCAGATATAAAATTTTTGTTATATTCGCGATTCATTCTATATGCTAACACCAAATGTATATCGGATCCAATATAAAAAGAATGAAAGGCTTAAAAACACATTAATAGATATTTACGATCAATTGATAAATATAGCTTATAAATTTAGCTACCTTTTTCATGAATTTTGCATTAGAACCGACATGTCATTTAGCGATAGTTCTTGTATATCATGACTTTCTAATATGAACATTACCTCTAAGAAGTACAGTTAGAGATATTAGGTTGTATAATAATGCTAATTTGATTGTGAACACTAAAGACGGAAATATATTATGTTTGTACTTTCTCACTTCTCAATGTCAGTGTTAAAACTCAAAATTGCAGTATGGGGTGATACATAAATTACGTTAGACAAGAAATAAAACTTAAATGTGATGAGTGGAGTGACAGAGGTAGGTGGGAGGTCCTAGATTTCATGATGTTTTACAAAAAATTCGAGATTTCTCCAACAAAGCGGTGTTGCTTTTTATAAATTATTATAGTAATAACAATAATAACTGTCACACAACGCCATCAAGTCTCAAGCTAAGCATGTCTTGTGTTATGGATACTGACAACTGATAGAATAATTTGTAGCATTAAAAATATTTTTTTATTTATTGTAAGCCCTCTTAAGATTTATATATACATATAATTATTTTACAAAATGACACACTTCTGCATTACCCCCCACCCCTCCACCTTCAGTTATGACGTAATTTATATACGGCCCCTTAAAAGTTACATCCTTTACCCACGAACACTTTTCACTTCAAAACATTAATACGATATTTACATATTGTTATTATTCTACACTCAATATAAAAAAGGCCATTTGGCAATCAACACTATTGATATATCTGTACATAATAATGCTTTATAAAATAATGTATATATATTTTGATATAAAATTAAATTGCGTATAATGACATCTAAATAACAATAAGAAATATCCGTCATTTCTTCAATACAGGCCTCATGTCAATATAACAATAGTCCACAATTTTAGTTGAATTATCAAAAAGGACGATACAGTTATGTAATAATATAAAGTGCTGCCAGATTATCTGCATTGCCTGCTAAAGGATGTATAAATTATATACAATACTTTAATAAAAGGAATATAATGTCTTTATAAATGTATTGTCATTACATTATTTATAAAAAATCATATTAGTTCTTATGTAAATAGGTCTTTATTAAAGTACGATGATAATTAATTTATTCCTATTAGTACCTGCGACAGTATACCGTAAATGAAACTATAATAGCTGCTTTTGAAAGGCTATTAAAAAAATCTAATGGTTTCATTTATTAAGGATATTTATTGTATGTAAAATTAAATGACATTAAGGACAAAAAATTCGATCATCTGATCAGATCGGATCATCTGATCATCAGATGTATGATTGCATACATCTAAATGCTATAATAGCATTTAGATGTATGCAGTCATACATCTAATGTCTGTGTACAAGGAAATACAGATAATTTGCTAGCAGATGGTTTAATTCATATTACAAAAAGTAATTTTGAGTCTTTAAATTGAGTACTACTATCCATGACAAATGAACAAAGATTCACAAGGACCGTTTATTTTTCACTGCCCACTTGTCTTCACTAAAATGACATGATAATTGTACTAATATACAATAGAACTATAATTATCCGTAGTTGGTCTGTGCCAGTGTATAGTCATAACATTACTCTGGCCCAACTCTCTTTACTTCCCATGCATATCATTCTCCATGTTTTGTTTAAAAGGTTGTGATCGAAATTAAATAATAAAATACTATATATACATATAATTGGTTGTTGTTATTAAGAAACAACAATAGAATAGAAAAACTAAAAAATAGTCTATATTCAATGTAAATAAAATTTTTACTACAAACATAATTGCCGTCGTAGACAACCACAGAATAAATAATAAATATAATAATTCCGTACAGTAAAGTCTGATCATTATATTTTTTATGAGTGTTTAAACAATATCATAGACTAAAAGAAAAATACAGATACATTATACATTTTCATATCATATTTTAAGTCAATTTACCTATCTCACAACTGTTACTTAGTTTCGTTTTCATAATGCTGGTTACGAAGATTCTGTACTCCTACCATTGGAAGAGATCCGATCTATCTGATCATGGTAGGTCAGTCAGTGGCCGATTGTCAGACCTACCCCAGTACCTGTATTTATACATGTACACTTTGTAAATCTATATTCTTTTAAGTTTTTTTCGAATGCCAAAATAAAGGCACCGTGTCTCTCTACTATCATTTTGTATAGACAAGTTCCATCACACGATTTTGCTCGCTTACTGTATTTAGTTAGGACATTAAAAAATTGTTATGGAAAACGGAATTCTAACGGGAACTGTTCAATGAGTGATTCAATATCATAAGCTGGCGAATGGACTTTTGGGTTCTTACCGAATAAATTGACTCAATATTCCACAAAAAATTAATACCTAAATCAACTTTATTTATGTCAGAACGGTAATAATTCTTTTTAATCACCGTATTAAATGTTTTTCGTTGATTTTTACGTTTGTACAGATTCTATATACGAGATATTTACCATATTACAGATATTCACATTCATAGTTTTCGGTTTTATATATATAATAATAATAACCGGTGACCTACTGTATCGACGGCTTTATTTCACATAGCAAAGACAAGTGAGAGTTACCTACCTACATTACTAAGAGATTACAATTGTTACGCCCGTAATACAATGGGCCGACTGTAGGGTCATACACTGGCACCCAACAGTCTTTCATCTGCAGAATGCTCCTCTTCATCAGAGCCCGATTTCTCTTTCTTTATCGACTGGTAACGAACCTGAAAATATAATATTAAGTTAACTACTTACTTACTACTGTTGTTGATATTGACGATTTAGTAATTTCAAAAAAATACTAAACTAACTGACAATCGTGTATGCATAGTCTTAGTTGTTCAGACAAGAGATTTTTAATACCTATATTGACATGTTCAACAAAAAATACACTTTATAACAAATATAATGAAAGATTGATTTAAAAAAATGCGATAATATACCAGTTAAGTTTCTCCCCAGTCATTTGAGTGGAGCGCGAATCAGATCAGCACACTTTGTAACGATACTCCACCCGATCGAGACCAAAAATTCATCGAAGGCCGATCTTCCTCATTCACCATCGTTTATCAGCCAAAAAAAATCTGATCAAGTTTTTAAGAACAAACGCGCTCCGCTCACCATGTGATCTGGTGTGTTGAACAACACACCAGTAACAAACCTAGTCTAAATTGAAGCAGCGAGCTGATATGGGTAGTAAAGTTAAGAATAATGATAAAAAATTATTTACATAAGTGGCAAAAATCATAGTATATCAATCATGAAATGGATGAATTTATAATTTCTCGTACGGGATCTTATTGTTTTGCCATCAGATTAAGATTATTTATTTATCGAACTAGGTGTTACTTTGCGGAAATTCACTTAATTCCTCAAAGGATTTATATTATTTTGTTATACTATTAATCACATGCGCGATACCACAAATGTTCGGCGGGGAAACCCGTCCACCTGAAGCATATATTGCGAGAAAATAATGAAGGTAATAATAATATATACATAACTATTGGTTACAGTCGCAGATCGTATTGTGGGCACATGTGTATTCACCATAAGAGGCTATATAATTTGATTTAGGATTTCCTGAAGATAAAAAGAAGTGACTATGTCGTCACTAAGGCAAGGGTGACGTTAAAAAACATCTGCCAGAATTATAATAATAATATGAATCACAACAATAACGTTAACCATACGATACTAATATGTGTGTGATATATCATAACCCAACTACTATGTCAAGAATATTCTATTATTTGACTCATTATCAGTATAAATTACGACTACATGGTATGTTTATTAACAAAATTAGATAATTATGTCGTGGGTCAATGAAACATTGGTGATGATAACGTACCTTAGTTTTAATTTTTGAGCTGACACCCCTCGGATGATACATAAGGAAGTTGTCTGTTACCATATGTTATACGAAGAAATTGATATTCTTATCAACATATTGTTATAAATATCTCAAGAAAACAAAATATTAATATCTGTAATAAAAGAACAAAACATTACGTACAGAAAAAAGTTTATTCTGTTTAATTCATTCGGTTGTATAAAAGTGATTCTATTGAGTTTGTTTGAATAAATATTATTTCTATTTGAATGCCTCCTCCAACTTTTATTCAGGATAGCTAGATAAAAGTAAATAAATATTTATTCACATAAGAAGACCGTGCGACCAGCATGTAATAAGTTTTTATCCTCATAATACCATCTATCTTCATGTCAATTTCCATTAAGGGTAATAAACAGACATCCACACTTCGCATTTATATTACGGATATATAGATTAGAGATCATACAATGTATTATCAATGTTTCACTCATAAAAAGTACGTGACGTAATCATGTGCTTACGTCAATCGTCTTGTTTACAAGTAAGGTAACTTCGAGTTAAATTAATTATTATTGTATTTGAACAGATGTACAAGTATAAACTACACAATGCACACACAGAATATATATATGACGTAAAGGTACAGATGCAGAATTAAATAATGTTCTCACTGCATCATCTGCTTTGCTTTTGCTGCATTGTAAATAATTTAGTTAGTCTAAATAATCTGCTCTGAGACAGAAATTTATCATTAAGTTTATCAGATTGAAAAGTTCAGAAGCGACAGATAGTGCTGACGAAGCCTAAATAAAAATAACTATACTGTACTAATATATAAGTTAGTTAGGTACATTGCTTGCAATTTGTATATATGCAAAGCCTACCCTTACGTTTATTGCGTCATTGCTAGAGGAAGAGTAGTAAAAAATAGAGTGTATGGGTACCGCAGTCTCATCTGTTACAGTCGTCAAGCAGTTTGCTTTATAAGCTGTGTTGCATTTGTAGGGTGCAGATTAGGCAGTGAAATTACAGAATAAGGGGCATGATATCTCAGTCCTGGAATAGCACCGCATGACTGGTATCACGAGTGAAATCTCCTCCAATCGATACCCCGTCCAATTGAAACGGGGAAACTAAAGTCGTATCCGTCAGGCAGGAATTGGCCTTCAGCCACTATAAGTCCTAAAGCAGGTTTAAAGTGCCAACTGCATTTGCACCCTATCGTTCGGTAAAGCAGTAAAAGCTAGCTATGGAAAACATCATTAGAATAGATCGAAAAAAAGGGTGCCATATGATAACGCGACAACATGTATATAGGCGACAGTTACCATTTAGTATCAAATTGAACTTCAGCTCGTTTGTCATTCCAATTACATATAATGTATATAACTAAAAATAAACTTACATTAACAAAAAATGGAATGATGAGCAGCACAACTGCAAGTTCAAGCCTCGGATCAGAGACCGGCGAGAGCGGCAGTCGAGATAACACTGTTACAAGTGGCGGCAATCGAAGTACCAGCGCTAGCACCGATTTGGAAAATGTAGCTAGTGCAGCATACAATATGCACTGGCATATCCAAGCTGAACACATTGGTGGTTTACCTGTGTAACATATATTAATAGTTTAATTATAATAAACTAGCTGACCTGCACATATTTGTCTGCGTTTCATTTCAGTTTCAGCTCTAATTTCCCACCTTTTGTAGCAAAAAGAATTTTTCAATTTTAACCAGTAGTTCCTGAGATTAGCGCATTCAAACAAACAAACAAACTCTTCAGCTTTTTAATATTAGTATAGATTAATAAATAATTAGAAATCCTCCCCCTGTTTCATCACAGATAATCATCACATTTTCATAGTTAAAATTTCATGTTTTTATATGATATTAAAATGTGATGATTAGTGGTGTTCTAGATATCCTGACTTTTTTACATGAACTTTGCGACTCCTCCAACCCCATGTGACATATATAATCATGTATGTCATATGGGGTTGGAGGAGTTATGTAGCACTATCCAGGCCAAAGTTAAGCAGTGCTAGACACTTTAGAATTAAATCAAAAGTTATACATTACACACAACATCTCTAAAATTAAATCCTAAAATTAAGATATCACAACATGGCCATAAAGAGAGTAAAAAATAAGATGCCATTTTTTTCAGTCTTTAAAAATTGTGGTACTTAATGTCTCTAAAAAAATTGGATCCAGTATGCTTTTAATATATTTTAGACAGTGCATCTTTGAATAAATCAAACATATCAGTGAACAATCAATCAAAATAATATAAAAGAAATTACCAACCATATTCTCCAAAGTTTATAAGTGGAATATCATATGTTCTAGCACAGTGCTGAGCGAGTCGGATGCCTGCCCATATTATCAGCAGGCCCAATGTTGAATCCAACATGAAATTTAAAATATACCTGATAAACAAAATTTTCATATTATTATAATAACACATTTTTGTAATAAATGGCAATCAAATGGTCTTCCCACATGCACTAACAGTATGTTTGGAATGTACTAGTGGACGATTATAGGCAAGGATGAAATCAGGTCAGTAAGACTTGTGGTGGCGAGAATTAACTATAATGTTTTCTAGGGAAAACTATTCTGAGGGTCGACCTGTTAGGGTACTTTATGAGTAATAGAGTCACTTGTCTTCATTTTTAACAACCCTCTCATCCATGAGAATACAATTATTGTTCAATACATTAATTATTGTTAATTATTAATTAATGGTTAAAAAAGAGGTACCAAAAAGATGAAAACTGATGACTGATGATGATGAAAAGATGGTATAATCAAATACATATATTAATTCATCCTTTTTTTATTTTATTTATTTGGGTTATTTTCTAAATGGTATTTTTTTTATTAATGTTATGACAAAATGATGTAAATATATTAAAAATGTTAAATCTTATATACAAATATGTCACATCATACTGTTCAACAAGGATAATCTTTAAAACTATATTTTTTTATTAAAAGGATATCAACAAACAATAAGAGACTAAACTTTAACAATATGAGTTTGTATTTGATACAGTTTTACCAGTGGGGAACAATGGCATAGTAGCCATTTTTAGTTCGAAAAACGGATTTAGATGGCGTCATTGGTATCGAATGGAATTCAACATTGTTTTGTAATCGTTTAAAACCCAAAACTATGTTTTTAAAAAGGTTTAATCTATTTTTAAAAAGTCATATATAGATGTTAAAATGAAATAATGCGTTTTGAAAAGTAATTTTCATATATTTACTCATTTTGTTGTTGCCCTGTATTTGTTTACAATTTAATCATTGCTAATTGGGGCTTATTGTTTCCAAAAGACTTTCATAGATGGCGCTGTTTTCATTTGTATCACCGTATTTTAAATCTTTATTTTATATTTTCAAATAATAAGTACTTACTATATTATTATGATATATGATGACATAAAAAAAGTTTAAGTAAATATAAAACATCTAAACAAGAAAACCATATTATGCCAGTAATACTTATTTAGAAAGTGTTGCCATATCAAAAATAAATGCATAGATTACCGATTTTTTCGAATAATCGATAACAGGATATTATAACGTATTATTCGATGGTGCTTTTAATTAGTCTTTGCAAACAGTAAAATTTCATGAATGTAGGTCTTATAAATGCCTACTTTCGTCCGCAGCTGCAGCCTGGATTGCAAGACCGGTCGCAGCATAGCGCGCGCAGCCTTGGCTTGGGTAACAGCCCGGTCCACCTGCGGCGTCATACGCAGCGACCGGTCGATTTCCACCCCTAGGTAACGCACTGTGCACTCCCACTGGATGGGCTGGCCTCTCAGTAAGAGGGGCGGCGGGCATTTGCACCCGGGGCGGGTAAGCAGCGCCACCGTTTTACCCACGTTAACGGTGGTACGCCACTTATCCAGCCACTCGGGGAGCAGGTCCAACAGCCGCTGCATTTTGCGAGCGGCTGCGTAGGCTCGGCGAGACGACGTAACCACTGTCGTCGGCGAAAAGAGCGAGGACGACATCCCTCTCTCCCTCTCGGAGCTCATCCCTCAAGGTGGGGATATCGTCTGTGTACGTCGCGTAGAGCGCTGGCGAAATGCAGCTGCCCTGCGGGACTCCGGCGGCAATTGGGCGTGTGGTAGAATCACAGTTCTCGACCGAAACATAGAAGCTCCGGCCCGAGAGGAACGAGTCCACTACTCGCACGTATGCTGACGGCGTGTTGGTGTCGAGCAACTTCGACACCAAACCGTCGTGCCACACACGGTCGAACGCCTTCTCTATATCGAGAAATACGCCGACCGTGTAGTGGCCGCGGTTGTGCTCGACAGCCATATGGTGGAGCACGCGCGTCAGCTGCAAAGTCGTCGAGTGTCCGCCTCTGAAACCGAACTGCTCGTCGCGAGGCGACAGAGTCGGTCTCAGGCGGCGGAGCAGGAGGCGCTCGAACGACTTTGCTACGTGCGAGAGCAGAGTGATGGGCCGGTAGCTTGCCGGCAGGCGCTTGTCCTTGCCGGGTTTCGGGAGGACTATGACTCTACCCAACTTCCAGTTGGTAGGGAAGTGGCCGGTCCGGAGTATGCCGTTGTAGAGCCTGGCTAGACACGCTAGGGCTCTACGGGGCAGCTGTGCGAGCGCTGCGGTGCTGATCCCGTCCGCTCCGGGCGCTTTGCGCTTCGGCAGGCGGCTGACGAGCCGCCTTACCTCGCCGGGCGAAACGAAGCTCACTTCGTTTACGTCCGGCGACGGAGCGGTACGGAAATCGCATACGCGACGTACGACTCGCTCGTGGTGCTCGACGACAGTGCTGGGTGCGTCGGCGGCGATTGGATTGGCCGTGAATTGCCCCTCCAAGTGCTGTGCCAGGATTTCTGCCCGGTCTTGGGCTGCGTAACGACGTCTGCCCGTCTCGTCAAGCAACGGGCAGACGGGGGGTCGTGCATTGGTGAGCTGTCGATTGAGTTTGTGCAGGTCGGTATCGTGTTCGCCGGCCCGGGATATGACACCCTCCCAGGCGGCTCCACGCCAATCCCGCACTCCCTCCGACAGCTCTGCAGCCAGGCAGTTGAGCTCACGCTTGACCCGCGGGCAGCGGGTTCGGGCCCATAGGCGACGGAGGTTCTTTTTCCGGGCGAGTTTTTCGCGCAGATGGTGTGGCAATTCCTCTCGACGGCGAGAAGCCACGTTTATTGTGGTAGTTGCCGCCTCCACTGCGGTGCGAATACGCTCCGTTATGAGTGTGGAGGCGGCTTCGACACCCGCTGGCGATGATAGTTCGCCGTCGAGGTGTAGATGCTCCAATTCTGCGCGAAAAACACGCCAATCCATCCGCCGCCTCGACGGTCTCGTCTGTGTGGTGGTGGTGGAGAGGTCAAGCGTGGCTAGAACTGGGAGGTGCTGTGTGTCAAGGTCGTACAGCACCTCCAGTAAGACCGGGCAAGGCACAGCCTGCACTAGGGCAATGTCCAGAACGTCTGGGCTATGTGTGGAATTTGAGGGTACGTGTGTTGGGTGCGCTGGGCCCAACACCTCGTACCCGTGGATCTGCGAATCCTGGAGGAGTCTTCGACCTATCGGCGAGCACAGACGGGAACCCCAAGCCGTGTGCTTCGCGTTTAGGTCGCCCATAAGCAGGGTGGGACTCCTCCCATCCAGAACGTTCCGGACATCGGAGGGGCTGAAATCCAGTCCCGGGGGACGGTAAGCTGCCAGGACCTTCAGTTCCGCGCCGTCGACGTTGATGCTGACTCCTATGGAGCGCATGACGCGGAACTCGGGGCGCTCTAACTCCACGTGGACTACGTCCCGACGGACTAGTACCGCCGTACCGCGGTACGCAATGCCCGCCGGTGACGTTTCGTCGCGTCTATACACGTGGTAGTTAGGCACCCTCAACGTCTCCTTTTCTGTGAGCTTCGTTTCACCCAGGAGTATGATGTGCACATCCTGGGTGCGAGCTAGGAGACGGAGGTCCTGGACTTTATCCTTTATTCCCCCGGAGTTCCAGTACACAATGCGCAGGCTAGTACCCGCCATTTGTGTACTGTTGGATTTTGGCCAATCCATTTAATGCCGCCGACTTAGTATCTGCGCCGGCCGCGAGCGTAGTAAGCAGCTCCGTCAACAGGCTAATAAGCATGTTCAGTGCTCTGTCGACGGGCGCTTGTGTGAAGGGGGCGGGTGCGGTGTATATCGTTCGCGCCTCTGGGTGTGCGGTCCGTGTGGGGGGCGCGGGAGGTGCGCGTCTTGCGTCCTCCTGTGGCGGCTCGAATGCCACTCTCGGCACGCTATGTGCCGGTGGCGCCGCCCGGCGGCGACGTGGCGCAGCTCGTGGACCCTGAGTTGGGACGGCATGCGTGGGAAGGCCCCACCCTTCCGGTGCGATGTACGCATAGCTTGTAGGGGTGGGATCCGGTAAGAAGGGGATTGGAGTTGAGGCCGTAACTGGCCCATCACCGCGCCTCTTCTTGCCGCGTCTTCGGCGGCGGCGTCTTTTATTTTCACCGGTGTCGGTGCCGCGATGCGTCGGCTCGTTGGCCGGCGCCATTAGGTTGGCGCCGGCTGTTTCCTCGACCGTTATTACGGGAGGAGGGGCCTGGGCGACGTAGGTACGCGGCGCCGCGGTAGGTTTATTACGACGCTGTGTTTGTTGCGCCACGGGCGTTTTTGTCGTCGCGGTAGGGACGGGGGGGCGGGGTTTGATGCCCCTCTGCCGTGCCTCCCTCTTATACACCGGGCATTTTCTGTCGTTGGCCGTATGTGCCTTGGCGCAGTTGGCGCATGTCGGTTTTTAATCCCTCGGCCTGTCGCAGTTCGCCGCCGGGTGCTCCCCACCGCAGCGAACGCATTTTACAGGCCGGTGACAATTGGCCGATGCATGGCCGAATGCCTGGCATCTGTGGCATTGTGGCAGCACCGATGCCGGCTTCCACGCCTCAACGACGACGCCCCGCATGTACAGGAGCTCATCAGTCGCGTACAAGCGTGTGAGCTCGTCCCTGTCCATGGGGTCGAGTTGGGCGTGGAAAATGCAGCCGGGGCGGCCGCGACGCGCGGGTATGCCCCGCACTAGCCGCACTCCGAACCCCTTCTCCTGCAGTGCCTCCGCAATCTTGTCATTGGGCGTGTCGGCTGGGAGTCCTCTTATCGCCACCTTAGTGGGCAGTTCGGAGGCCAGACTATAAAAGTACCAACTTATTGTTGGGTCCTTTTCGCTGGCCTCTACCAAATACCTTTGGACGGCACGGAATTCTTCGTCCGTCCTAGGTAGGAATCTGACCCCCGTGCCGTAGGGTCTTGCGTTGGGTGCCTCCCCCAGTACGCGCCTGAGCTGGTTGAAGTGGCGCGTCCAGTTAGGGAGGCGTTCTGCCACTATGGAGGGGTATTTTCCTCGCCCTGTGGCGGGTTCAGCGCCTGCGTCGGC